GATTTATTGCACAATGGCGAAGACAGATGTCGTTAAAATTCCTGTGCTATTTAGAATGGCTCTAGTTTGGCATGGATTTCAGGTAGGCCTAGTACCTTGATAGGAAGCTTAATGTAACAGTTTTAAATTAAATTCACTTTCCCAGTGCTTTTAAGATTAAAAGTAAATTAAAGCGTTAAAAGAACCGAAACCCTAGGGAACTCCCGCATTAGAAGAGGACGTCAAATTTCTGTGATCACAAAATGTACTCAGCGTAGCAAACTGTCAGCATCATCAGGATTTTTCGTTCGGGCTGTGCTTTAAGAACATTAGAATAGATACTTGAACTTACTAGCTTTAAGGTCAGTACACACTAGGCGACAAGTTGCAGCAACATGTCGCGGCGACACGTTGCAGCGACAAATCGCTTCGTGTGTACTGGAGAAATCTGTGAAAATCTTTGTCGCTGCAACAGAATTTTGTCTCCGCAACAAGTCGCACAGATTCAGTCTGATTTGATTTTTTGCGACTTGTTGCAGCGACAAAATTTTGTTGCGGAGACAAAGATTTTCACAAAAATTCTCCAGTACACACGAAGCGATTTGTCGCTGCGACGTGTCGCTTCACCTTGTTGCTGCAACTAGTCGCCCGACCTGTACACATGGAGTGATATGTCGCCTCGACGTGTTGCTGCAGCTTGTCGCCTAGTATGTACCGACCTTTACCAATTTCTTCAAGAGAAGAACTCAGCATAGCATGCAGTTTTTGACTGATTGTATTTAATTCACTGCAAAATGAATTCAAAACAGATCTTCAAACAAGTTGTATACTGAGACATAAAACTAGTGCTTTTTTTAACGCAAAAAAATCTGTGAGCCATAATGGGGTTTTAGCTAAATAAAGGACAACTTGTGGTTGATTACAGCCTCTCTTATTGTGATATATAATTCATGATAAGAGACTGAGCCTATAATAAGTACAGAAAAAATCAATTATTAAATATGTTTGTAGGAAAAAAATGTTAATGAGCCATCTGCTTTTTCGAAGTATTTAAAATTAAAGATCAAACCTAAACCCGGGCCGATCCTTGTATTTTTTGTTTGGTTTTGGTTTTTTTGTTTGTTTGTTAGTTTGCGATATTTCTTTGTCATTCTTTCCCTATTCATTTTAAGTCAAAGTACTGACATGAATTGCGTCATGAGATACAAGGACAAAAAATCACTATGTATTCTCCTTACATTGCTTCTTTTTTCCAGGTACTATCGTGTTTTGCGCAGAACAACAATGATGTTTTTATTCCAACACCGACAGTAAAGACATTAGAACCCAGGCTCACTTCAACTACTCCGCTTCCAGTGACCGAGAAAAATCTGTGGGGCCTGAGATTGTGGCAAGTTATGGCGCTGGCTTTATTTGCCACCATTGTATTAAGTAAGTAAACCAAGCGTGCTTACGCAAGCCTGCTTTAGCCGAGTCCCTTCCAAATCCCATTTGCGTTAAAGAATTGTAGTTACATTGTGTTTAGGTACGTATGATGTACCGATAAGGGAATCCAAACAGTCTCGATTCTGGATTCCCACGCCGCTGGTCCCGGATTCAAAGTACTCATGTACTGGATTTTGTCAGTGAAAATTGGATTCCGGATTCCAAAAGTTAACGGGCTCTGGATTCATTGAGCTGTATTCCGAATTCCAAAGCTCAGGATTCCGGCTTTCATAAAAAAATTTTTCCTAGATTCCAGGGTCCAAAATTCAGGAAACAGGATTCCCTTAAATGAGTGGATATCAGGATTTGGTATTCACCAAATCAGTGGATAGTAATTTTCGCGCGTTCTGATTAGCTCCCGTAACTCGAAATATCCATAGATATTCACTGTTTTGGGACGGGATTCAAAATGGCTTCTCGTTTCCCGACAGTTTTAAAAGATGAATTTTGGCGGTAAATGAAGCAGCTGCACCAACAAATACCAAGAAAGAGATAAAATTTGGCTTGAAGGTGTTTACTGGTCGGAAGAAAAAAATTTTCTTACCGAATTTGCAACAAACTCATAAAAAATGATCCCCGATACACTGTCAATTAAAACGCTAAACAAACCCTAAGTAAGTGACGTCTTTTATTTACAAAAAGTTTCTTTTTGATTTTATCCAACTGATTTGGTAAATACTAAAACAACTATCCCCCTCAGGGTCGGTTCATAGTGCTCCCCTTCGAGGGATAGTTGTATAATATTGTTCCTTATACTGCAAAAATACAAAAAACCCTCCTATAGTGGCCCTTAACCAGGGTGCTCATGATCACTAAAAGGAAAGCGGACTCTTGGCACGAGATTGGGTCCGTTCCACTTACACAGTTAGATATGAATTTTATGGAACGTGCGTTATCAGTGGTGAAGTTATGCTACAATGGAGGACAAAATTCTTAGGACAATTAACACGATCTGCCTTAATTTTTCCCCCTTTCCCCCTCTCCCCAAGCAATGTTGTAGTTTGTGCACCCCTGTAGACTTTACCCTGTCCTAAAAGTGTTTCTTCATCCCAACATTGTTTGGAGGGGGGAGGGGAGGGCCAGTCGCGGTATCCAAGTGGTTAGAAAAGTGTACATTATGCTACATCTGAACATTTGATAAGTTAAGGATGTGGAAGGAAGGTTTTCCATAACCGTTCCAAGGATTTTTGTCCTCCATTGTAGTTAAGTTAGAGATAGACAGAAAGCCTCTAATGAGCAAGCAGCGATTTCGTTGAGGCCGGAGGCCTGCCAGACTGAGTAGCGTCAAGCCGTTATTGTATGTAAGGTCCCGGGTACTATCACTTTCAGAAGTAAAATAAATCAGATGATTTTGTATTTTTTTACGTAACTAGAGTTGATCCTTAGTTTTCTCACTTATATAACTCATCCGGTCCATCTTCCAGGGAGCGCAGGAAACGGAGTTTCAGACAAGGATGCAATCTCAAAAAAATTTCCATCGAATGAGGGAGGAGAAAAGAAAGGTCCAGACTTCCCTAGAATTTCGACCCTTTCGCGCCTATCTATACGGTACCCTCGTCCGCTTGTTTCTAAACACTCTGAGCTCGATTTCGCCCCATATAAGGTAATCCGAGGCAGTCTTGGATTCCGGACTAGCTGGATTCCAGATTCCTTGAGCTTAATTTTCGATTCCAGAGCCCAGGATTTTCGATTCCATAGGCAAAACTTTCCTGGATTCTGGAATTCGAATCAGGAGGCGATCGATTCTCCTGAGGAAATCAGCTGAATGAACTGTTATGCTCATGTCGATCTAACCTCTAACCATTGATTTCCAGTAACATTCTGCTGCTGTCTCTGTGACTGTCGCATTCCCAAGACAGGCTACGATAGTAAAACTGACCCAGAGGAAGACAGCGACTGCAGCGATGTTGAACAACTGGTTGCCACTCCCAAACAAGGACATGGAGAAAAAGTGTCGACGAACGGCTTTACTCCTCAAAAGAGTCAACTGCGGACCACAGGACACGAAACGGGGAAAGTGAATAATAGTTTTGATAGTGAAGGTGAAATACCTTCCAAGAGTGATAATTGGAGAGGTACATCTCGAGTTGCGTTTTCACGGCAGCCATAACCTTGATGGAAAAGAAAATAAGAAAAAATGAAAAGACGGTAACAACTTACGTCACAACCTACACGGAAATTCACTACTTTCGCATTGCTCCGTAACTTTTTGTGCCCCCTCCCCCCAGACCTTCCCCAAAGCAACATTGTTTCCAATTTCTCCCGGCTATTACAGGGGGACATTACAGTAGTCCGCTCCCCCCCCCCTAAGAAAAAATGAAGACAGTGCTTATGCAAAATTTGGTGTTGGAGGCGGGGGGGGAGGAGGTTGAGGGGTAAACAAGGTATATACGTGGGTAATGCAATGGTCGCGAATAAACGGCCGACATTTTCTTGTAAAAAAAATAAACCTTAGTTAATACGGCCAAATATTTTTGGCCCATTGGTGATCGTAACAACGGAGTTCCACTTTATCGAATGTACTACATGTGCAGGCTGGAGTTATTTAGGTCACTAGTGTCCACACGCTGCCCATCGATGAAGTGTAGGCTTGTCACAGTGTTGACCTCGCACACAGCATAAACTGAAGACAAGTTAGAAAACATAGCACAGTGGGTATTTGTACTTCACGATTGTCAAATAATAAAGAAAATTCGTCAATAAATGTCTTGGCCTCGTGGCCTAATGGATAAGGCGTCTGACTTCGGATCAGAAGATTCCAGGTTCGAGTCCTGGCGGGGTCGTGCACGTTCTTTTTTGATATTGGTTCTTCGTTTGACACGATCCATTTACTTTTGTGTTAAAAAAGAATAATTTTGGCGTGAAACTCATCAATTTACTCGAAAGTCGTAATGCTGTTTAAAATCTTTTTTCTTTTTTTCAAACTAGCTTTAGTCTATGCGCAACGTTCTGTTTGTAATCTATTTCGATCGTTTCCCATAATTCTGAAGAACAGCTCGAAAAAAAAATCAACCTACAAAGAGAAAATTACAAGGAATGTTTTCTAAAAGATTTATTCGTACTGATCTAACGTTTTCACTTCAGGGTTAATGAAGTCTTATCAACCAGCTGAAGACGGAGTTAATTTCACATTACAGTTACCGTAATAAGTTTTTAACAAATAAAATTTCCATTGATAGAAAATAAAAAAAGCCTTTTTTAGTTTAAGACTACAATTGCAGTTCCAACAAAATACATTCCTCACGGAGCATTGTAACGTTTACTGATTTTAATCATAGGCGTAGGGGGCGGGGGGGCGAGGGGGGCTGCAGCCCCCCCAAATTTTGGACAACTCAGATTTTTTGGGCAGCAAGAGAAAATTTGGGCAAAGCCAGGTTTTAAAGACGTTTCGTTGTTTTTTTAATGTTATTTTGAAGAGATAAATATTTTATATTTTATTCTGACAAAAATCCTGACGTCGGTCGGCGTAATAATCAAGTTACATTCTGTCGAGACATAGGTTGCCTAGCACGCGATGAGTTTCTGGTTATTAGGAAAGGGTATCACACGTTGATTTACATATTTATAGTTTTTTAAAATATTTAGTTAAGGTAAAAAAAACACTGCAAAAACCGTGTACGATCAATCCCGCTCAACGTCGGATCCGAAAAGATCGTGATCAGTCAAAATAGATCAAAACGTTACAGTCAAGAAGACTTTTGCAGGGACTGATCAAACAGCGTGAAATAGAGTTAAGCTGCGATATTTCGACTGGCCAATACCAGTCTTCATCAGGTTTATATCAGGTTTTTTACTGTTGAGCACTGTACTGCACTGCACTAACTGGAATGGGCTCTCTCCAGTCGTGAATTGATTAGAATAAACTTCCGCATATCTTAATAGAATCATCTCCCGCTCGTTGCATCAGCAATGGATCTGAAAATGAAGAAGTGGCTGACCAGTTCTCAGTTCGATAACGGCCAAACAGCAAGATTTTCGTTTTTTACCATATTTCTAACGATGAAAACGTCATTCCAAAATATCCCAATAACACTCTCACAGTTTCCGTTTTAACTTCACGAACATCGAGGCGACTATTTGAGGAAAAAGTTTCCGTGAACGATTTTGTAAGAACAGTTCCCTGTGCAGAGAAATATAACTGCAAGTAATATAAGCAATGGCGTCATTTCGTTGCTATGACAACTCCGATGTCATTGCATTCCTGATCATGACAAATTTTCGTCTTTATCTGATAAAAACTGTGGTGGCAATTTTTCCAAATGTTTGTCTAGGGCGACGTAGTTATGCTCAGAATTGGGAGGTATTGACCCTGAAAAACTGTTACAGTATCGAGCCACCTTCATATGCCAGTGCGGCCTCTGTTGTTGCATCGTATGGCCCTCGTTTCTTTTCGACTGTACGTTTCGGAAAAATTCGGGCAACTTGCGAGAATGTTTTGGGCAAATGGTTTACCGCCCCCCCTGGCAAAAAATTTCCCGTACGCCTATGATTTTAATCAACATTGAATCTAATTCTTCGATGACTTAAATTGACAAAAGAAAAATCGTTAGGGATTCATTTTTGCTTTTTCGCAACTTTTAAGAATAGAATCAGAAACGGTACTTTTCTCCAGAAGTATCTCATTTGACAAGAGTCCTAAAAATCCTTGAATACGATTGGCTAATCGTATGTTTAATACAGGTTCACCTTTTTGCGGTCGGTCCGATGTAATCGGTTGTCAAGGTTATGTTTTCTCGGCTTACGCGAGGTTTTAAAGTGTTTGTAATGAACGAGCAAAAGCCACGAAACAGCTTACTTAGAACAGCTTGCTGATAAACGTCATGTATCAACAACGAGAGGAGGTTAACGGTAGAGAATTAAATTTTGTGTTTAAGTATATTAAATTTCCTTGAACTGTATCAAAGGAGAATTAGAAGCGAACTCCGCCCTTCAGATGAAATATTTGACGAAAAACACAAAAACAACGGCAGAAACCTTCCCTCTCCCAAAAAAAGTTGATCAAAAAGTCTAAAAAAGATTACTCTGCGAGCAGAGGCTACATTTTCGCGGTATGAGCTGGCGTGCGAAAAGTAGCACGCCAGCTCACGCCGCGAAAATGTAGCCTCTGCTCGCAGGGTACAAAAAGATAGCCACGCCTACTTTTCGCACGCCAGCTCATACCGCGAAAATGTAGCCTCTGCTCGCAGGGTACAAAAAGATAGCCTCAGAAGTTCAAACCGTCTCGTTCGGCGTTGAGCTCGCGCAGATAAACGTTACATTTTGTCTTTATGACGTCAATTTTTTTAGTCTTTCCAAGTCAGGAAGCGAGATGAATTGTGTCGGATTTGAAAAGGAGAAAATTAAGATGTTCTTGACAAAATGAAAGCCTTTTTAATCTACATTAATGTGCTCTCAACGGTGTTAGGAACTTCGGCTACCTCAGCAAACATCAATAAGCAAGGTAAGAGTTTATTTTTGAGAACGGAATCCTTAAATTATTTTTTATCTTGCGTAAGCTGGGGTAGAAAAGGCGCACGGCGAAAGCAAAAATCGTTAGTTTTCCTAGTGACGCCTAGGCTCGATTTCCGCCGTCTCCTGGGTCCGGTCTTGATCCTCCCCGAAGAGAGACTTTGGGGGGATGAGTGCGAGCTCATTTTCCCGAACAGCGGCTGGTAATCGAGCTTAGCCTATTGCCTCCGCAGTCGTGGACTTTTACCGCTGGACGTCACAACCTGGTTTCGGTCATTGTTATCTAAGGTCTTCCCCATGTTGGTGTTTCCAACCAGTGCTCTGTGAGTTGAACTTTTTTCTAATGAAAAAAAAAACCTTTCCTTTGTTCCAATAACTTTGCATAGCTGATAACACTCTATTATTCTTTAAATAGAGGATATTACACGGTGGAGCGAAGATATGAATTTTATTTTCGAGTGGCAAAACCATATTTTACGAACGAGCGCAGCGAGGGAGTAAAATATTGTTTTTGCCGTTCGAAAATAAAATTCATATCTTTAAGCCGCCGTGTAATGTTCTTTTTATTATATAGACAAAAATACATCGATAAAATGATAGAGGGAAAAGACCGAAATTACTTCATCGATAAACTCACGTGTGAGATTATGAAAAATAAACCACTCCGGTCCCGGATGTAGTTTTTATGAATTTTACGAGTGGTATATTTTCCAATAAAACACTCGTGTCTATATAATAAACATCTCTCTTGTTTGAAAGCCATCAAGGTGTCAGACTGAACTTTATGAAGACAGCTCATTTCCGAGTCCTTTCCTCTGGGGTGGGGAGATGAGGAAAATTATAGTCAGGAACAGGAAAGGTAAAGCATTAAACCAAACAAATAAATATCCACTTTATTATAAACAAATAACAATAAGGTAACGGCGGTTTAAAGTTCAGTATGTCTGTTGATCCAGGCACTAAAAAGGGACTGATTCGTTTTGACGCTTCTTCTTCGACGGTTGCTTGGGTATGTGATAACAAAACGGTTCTTATCTACTGTGCTCTGAAAAAAAAAAACACAAGGGGAATAGTCAATCATGTACATTGAGTAATATCGGGGTTGTGTGGGCTCTTAAAGATGTCGAGGAATCTTTGAGTCGTGTGGTGCCTGCTTTTCAAACTACGGTAAAACGGGCAACAAAGGGGACGCGCAACTTTGTTTTGCCAGTTTTATCACCCACGAATCAAACCTGTCTTGCCACAGGTCAGGTTTTTGCAAGTTGCGTGAATACTGACTTCTGAGTTCTGATTTAATAAAATTACGCGGGTGTCACGCCATACACGAGACTTGCTGCAAAACAAGTTTGCCTTGGGCCAGTAAAACGCGCAACATGTACAGATTTTGTCGGAAAAAGTAGAACCACTCGCTACTTTCTGAAACAAATTTTCAAAACCTGCAACAATCGCAACAACTTGAGTTGTTGCAAGACAGCTTACGCAACATCGCTATTCAACTCCTTTTCCGGCAGCAATGTTGCAAATTTAAACAAATTGCACGTTTTTGCCTGTTTCACCGTACCTTAGGAACCTGTTTAGAACCTGTTTCTGACTTGCAGGTTTTTAATGGGTTTATAGGTGAATCACAGTCTTGTCTTTTAGGTAATAAAAATTAACTACAAGACATCGATAAGGGCGAGACTGGAAATATCACTCGTAAGAGAAGCAAGGGTAGTTATTTAACAGCTCTTCACAAAAATATACAGTTTCTTACCGGAACGAAGAGAGGCCTTCCTACGAGGTTGCCATGGAAATTATTCCCTGCTTGGTCTAATATAACTGAACCGGAAGTGTCCTCCATGTTAAAGTGTGCTCGCACCAGACCCTTGTGAATAGGCCATGTTAGCCCCGCCAGCTTCATATAGTTTTTAATTTCATCATCAGGAACTCGTACTCCCCACAAAGTCAGCTATCGATTTATCAAAATAGATATAAGGTAGAACTTTGTGGCGAGCAACTTGAAGAGAAATCAAGTATATGAAACACTGGTGTTACCTAAATGGAGTTGACACCCAAAAGATATTTCTAACCTTGCAACTTCAAAATGATACAGAAACCGTGAAATTTTATTCTGAAGAAGTTATTACTTACGTCATCTATCGTCCCATTAAAAAAGTGTTTTTGATCACGGCCCACAAAAATCTTGACAGCTGGGGTCTGAAAAAAAAAAAGAAAAAAAAAGAAACAGGTAAAGAGATAAAAACTAAGAGGAATAATCACTGATCGGAAACTACAGCAAAGTTGAAAAACTCTTTACCCAAACGTAAGGCCTGGTTTCGGTCTTTTTTCCAACTGATGATCCATTCACAAAGACCTCGATTTCATGTCCTATAAATCAATGAAGAAAAAACCATTACTTCGCAAGTCACGGAACAAATTACGAATGATAAACCCTGGGTGCCAGAGCCTTTTCGGTGAAGTCTTCATAGCGTCGCCGCTCCTAGCGTCGGCGGCCGACACCGGAGCTTCCTGCCGCAAGCGAGAAAAAAACCTCTGGTACCCGTAGGGTAGGAATGATACAAAGGAAACAACGAGTGTTAAACAGTCTAAACATGGACCATTCACTTCTCCCCCGACCGTTCTGTTAATTTGACTACAGGTGTATAACTTTCCTTCTTGTAGCTGAGCCTAAAGAAGCCATTAACGCATGAAAATAGGCCAATGACATACTCCAGTTAGCCACTGAACCTAGCTCGTACCCAGACGTCTCTCAACCGAAGTAAATTTGCGCAAAAAGGAAGGCGGAACGGAGAAAGCAGGCGCCTCTCTTCTTTCTCCTTCCCGCGGTCCCTTGCGCTTCGCACCAGTCGCTCGCGCTTCTCGCTCGCGCTTCTCGCTCGCCTTTATTCGCGACCAAACGCCTGAGGAGGAGGAGGCAGCAACTGGACTTTTAAAACATTACTCGATATTTGAATATCAAGCTAGTATACAGAACCGCGTAAACAAAAACAATTCGTGTGAGTAAAAAGCACTTCATTCATTTACTTTGTGCATCAAATCTGAAGACAAGATGATGCCATTCCTCAGGCTCTATAACTTCACTTCCTTCCACTGTGGATGTTCCTAAGTTTCCATGAACGCGTCTGTAAATAAATAAATGAATGAATAATAAATAAAGGCACTGAAAGAGGAAACAAACATAACAGGTTGAGACCGAAATATACGTCCTCATTTTCATGCTCTTATCACACGGCAGTTGAAATCTTGTGCCAAATCGACGATATTTAAATTGTTTGATTTTACGCTGAGGGTTCTGTCGTTGTCTACTTGTTGAGGAGTGCTGATTTTTGTTCTGAAAAGTGATTTCCTCTTCTTAACAACAACTTATAAAAATATGGGTATCATGGACCCGGTGTAAATTGTTTGACGTTAGGATCGTTCTACGGTGAAAGTTTTTTAGCTCAGTCTTAGCTCGGTTACCAATCACCAACCTGTCATTGAGGTAAAAACATAATGTTCCTTCATCACTACAGACTATGGGCATGACTGTCATGGGGTAGTCCGCTGCCATGAGTACCCACGCACTTATAGTAAAGCTGCAAGTCACAATAGGTGCATTGAAAAGACATTAGTTACTAGGTGAAAAAAATGTGGATGAAAAATGGCAAAACGTTCCAGATTAAATGGCAACGCACGATTTATGTACCTGTCTGTCAAACCTAAACTATGAATTGACGGTAATGTCACGTGATCATCTTCACCATCAAACAACAGGGCTTGATTTACTCTAAAAAAAGAACAACACTTGCAACTGAAAAAGGAAATAAAACCGGCAAAATCAATTTATCGCCCGGTAAGAATTGTTTTCAAATCCCTTTCCTTCCTAGTAAAGGTTGTACGAACGCAGTAATGGTCGCGCTGATTCCCACCCATAACAAAGCTACTCTACTTCCTTACAAATCTATTATGGATAGGCTAAGTCAAGTTTATCAAACATATTTTATTAAGAAACCAAGCGCAGATTCATGGACGCCCTGTTGTAAAAAATTGTTAGAGAGTCAGAGTCAGAGATTCTTGCAACTTTATAACTTGTTGTTTCAAGATTATTCCAGCCTGCAAATAAAGCCGTATCTCTAGCTTTGTCGCTAGGAACGTTTCGTAGGACAGAGTCTATCCTTCGAAACGTCACCAACGGACGTTTGTATTCATAGGCCACGATTACAGTAAACGCCCGCGTATAAGAACCTACGTTTTTCGGAGTCTGGCAAATTATATTTTGGGGTACTTATATGATTGACAATTTAGGCTAATTAGGTTCTTTTAAAATAGGTTCTTAATATCTATGAAGGAGACAATTATAATTGTTGACTACCAGAAAAATAAGGAAATTTGAGCTTGGTCCTTAAATATACAGTATATATTCACAACTGTACATTGCAAACCTCTTGTATGCAAGGTCCATGAACACAATTAAAGTCAAACTGTTTTTGTTGTAGGAATTACAGTCAGTAACAGTTTTATTTGTCAACACAGTTTGGTTCAGTATTTTCTTGTAGAATAAAGTCTAAAAAGCCAATCCTATTGGGTAAAATGTTTAACATAATTTTAACTATAACCCACATATAAGAACCTGCTTGATCTTGCTTGGCTAAACAGGCTGTCGTATTTTTGGGTATTAAAGTGACAAATTTCTGCCAGGATGTTCTCAATCCACTATGTTGTTATATCAGGCGTTTACTGTATATCCTTAGTTTTTTTTTCAGAGTTTACGAAAGTTGTACACAGCGAAAAAGGAAACTAAAATGTGGACAAGAAAAACAAGGGCTAGGAGTATTCATAGTCAGTAGAGGAGACTGGTTATGAAAGCCGGCAAACATCAAAGATGAAAACAATGGGGCTGCAGTTTATGTTGGAAGCTTCCTGACTGAGCACAATCCTTTGTTTTTTGACTGAATAATTAAAGCGATGTTTCTATTGGTCAGTAAGGGCCTGCTTACATGGAGGTGGGGGACCCCAGGTAGTTAGGTAACTCGCTTAGGTGGGGTGACCCGTCTGTCCACTTAATCTCTCATTTTAATTTGATCACATTTACGTGATAGGTGGGGTGACTCGCCACGGGTTACCTCACCTACCGGGGATCCCCCACCTCCATGTAAACAGGCCCTAAGTTGACTTAGTTCAATATTATAGGAATCCTACTGAACATTGCGCACTGTCAAGTCTAAAAAAGCTAACAAAAACATATAACAAAGACGTCTGCCGGGCTTCATAACAGTGCCACTTTATTAACTATGGAGTATTATACCTGTCAGAACAGCGGGCTTCAAGTCTTGACCAAATGACGTCATGCTGACCATAAACAAACATTCCCAGTCTCCCACCGGTCAGTAACGTGTTGTAAATGTTTCCAGAGTCAGTTAGAATCCTCTCTCCCTGTTTTATTTTAACCCTAAAGACAACAAAAAGTGTTCGTAAAAGATAACCAATATTCAACGTTGTCAGAGCTTTGGACTCACAATGCGGTGATCCTGGAGTCGAGTACCACATTGACTGATGGGTTTGTTTCAGGGAAACTCTGTCAGTTCAACTCCTCTGCCGCGCATGTAAATTAACAAATCTTTTGACACTTACGAGTTGGGATTCTTAACATCGTAATATATGTTGAAAATGTTTGCCTCTTTTTTGATATTTTACTGTTTCAAGCTGCAATAAATTTGTTAAAGAGTGAACTGATTAAGTAGCCGACGATGGGTGGACGCAATGGTATAAAATAGGTCACGAACAGACAATTAGCTCACGCCTCTTTTCTCAGTTATCAGTCTGTACTTGAGATAGGACATCATTTTTATTTTAATTGATAAGCAGCTTAATCATTCCGTGGCAGATAAGAACGATAAATTACAACACAATACATCTTAAACGGGAGTCCGGGCACCCACCTTAGAAAATTGCTGAAGGCGTTCTTTTTCATGTTAAATAAGAATGCATGTGTCCTATTTGAAACAGTAGCAATGTCTGTTCCACCTCTTGGCAACCAATGAGATTAGGCGATTCAACTCACTCAGTGGAATGCATACCAGCGAAAAAAAGATAAATCAAAAGACAGCAATACTTATTCTCACCTTATAAGTCCAATGGATGGTCTATGCGTCACATGGAAGCCGTAAGGAGTCTGATGTTTCCAGCCTTTCATGTTTGGATCATCCCATAACAAAGTGACCTGTAAATTCATCCTTGTCTATTAATAGGTAAAGCAATTTTTTAAATGTACAGCCTCCTGCAAGCGACCAACAAAAATGCGAAGATTTAGTGGTCGCTTACGACAATCGAACCACAGGGGGTCTCCACTGCAATTTCTAAATTAAGTATACGTGTAGCTCCGTGTTTTCACTTTTAGTTCTTCGTATTCTCTGAGCGGCGTTCTTGCGAACAAAAACACCACATCATGCGTCAAATGGTTGCTTAAAGGAGGTTAAAACAGTGGAAAACTATAAAACCGTCAAGAAAAAGTGGTCGCGATCTTGGTGTTTTGGATAGGTGGTCGCTTATGAGAAGTGGTCGCTAATGGAAGATGGTCGCACGTGGAGGCTCAACTGCATTTCAAAGAGGCAAATAAATAATGAGGATGATAAAAGGTTTTCAGTTCACCTACCTCACCACTGGTGTCTCCAGAGTGCCATAAAGCTTTTGCTAAACTGGGCCCTGGTCCATTGGTTGATTGAACAACCTACCGACAATTATTTTGATCAGAATAAGTACTCAAGGGGTTTAAGAACTATCATGGATAATAGGTGTCTTTCTATTATCCATGAACTATATTGTGGGTTTAAGGTGTGTGCGGAAATTTTGACTAATTAACAATTATTCTTTAAAGTTAAAGTTAATAGTGACGAATTTCACGGCGAGGTAAATCAGATTCCTATAAAGGCCACTATTCCGCACTAGGTAAAACCATCTAAACCCGTCTACAGCCAGACCTTAGACCACTCGAAAATGACATTTAGCCAAAGCAAAATTTTCGGCTAGTTTCAGTAGTCAAGGAGAAGGCAAAGCATCAATGAGAGCGGGAAAAGGCGAGTGACTAAGCAAGTCAAGATTAGTTCTGGTTTTACCACTGACTGGCCAAGAAAGCGGCGTAAGGTTTTGTCGGCAATTCGAAATCATAGAGCTTAGCAATTTTACTAAAGGGAAGCAACAAAATTATTATCTGAAACTTTTGTATGTGGAGATAACCCCGTGCCAAAGATAATCATATGCATTTGGTTCGAGGAGCTTCCAGGGTATAATGTCAGTGTATTGTACGGTGATATTTGAGCCGGTTGAAATGCTTTGGACTTAAATCAGAGAATCAGGCTTTGTTATTCTCCTCATTTTTGTTTCGCCCTACAAAAAGCTTATTCCAGACTGTCCCACGCCATGTGGAATCTAGGGACTTACAGAAACACAGCTTATCTAAGCCATCATCAATTGTTGAGGAAGCCCCATAATAAACTCACAAAAAAGTCTCCTATATCGATCTAGAAGATTTTCTTTTACTCACACCTTGAAATAAATCTAGAGAAGGAAAAGGGAAATAAGAAACCGCTTTTTTTGTAGTTCCAAAACGTATGATTAGCTCCAGCATTAAGTTGATTAACCGGCAATAAAAAGATTTTTGAACGTGTCTCTCACCTTCAACTGTAGTCCTTTGATTCCAGCATTGATGTCTTCTTTTGCAAAGTTTATGTTCTCTCTCCTCCACATAACAACGTAGAACTTACGGTTTGATTGGTACCCAAACACCACACCCAAATAATCCGACCCTTCCATGTCTTTTACATAAATTGTGCCGCTATAATCCACTGGTCCGTAGCGCGTAGATCCTACAGAAAGAGAGATCTCTAACAAATTACAATCAGTTTGTGTTTTTAACGACCAAAATACCAGCAATTTTAAAGTTAAAATTAAGCCTCTGAAATCAATTATAAAATCAAGACAACCTGCTCTGTGGTTAATACACCAGACTTAGGATATGTTCACATTATACCGGATAGTTTTTGCGCCGGCACGTAGCCATACTGGATAGCGCTTCTGTTCACACGTAAGAAAGATGATTTCGGCGCGATTTCTGTAGCGGCACGAAGCTGCGCTGCGCCGATCATCTCTAAAGTGAAGAGTCACATATGGGATAGATGTTCAAACTGTCCCGGAAAGCTTTTGCGCCGGCACGTAGCCATACTGGATAGGGATTCTGTTCACACGTAAGAACGGTGATTTCGGCGCGATTTCTGTAGCAACACGAAGCTGCGCTGCGCCGATCATCTCTAAAGTGAAGAGTCACATATGGGATAGATGTTCAAACTGTCCCGGAAAGCTTTTGCGCCGGCACGTAGCCATACTGGATAGGGATTCTGTTCACACGTAAGAACGATTATTTCGGCTCGATTTCTGTAGCAACACGAAGCTGCGCTGCGCCGATCATCTCTAAAGTGAAGAGTCACATATGGGATAGATGTTCAAACTGTCCCGGAAAGCTTTTGCGCCGGCACGTAGCCATACTGGATAGGGATTCTGTTCACACGTAAGAACGATTATTTCAGCTCGATTTCTGTAACGGCACGAAGCTGCGCTGCGTCGATCATCTCTAAAGTGAAGAGTCACATATGGGATAGATGTTCAAACTGTCCCGGAAAGCTTTTGCGCCGGCAGGTAGCCATACTGGATAGGGATTCTGTTCACACGTAAGAACGATTATTTCGGCTCGATTTCTGTAGCAACACGAAGCTGCGCTGCGCCGATCATCTCTAAAGTGAAGAGTCACATATGGGATAGATGTTCAAACTGTCCCGGAAAGCTTTTGCGCCGGCACGTAGCCATACTGGATAGGGATTCTGTTCACACGTAAGAACGATTATTTCAGCTCGATTTCTGTAACGGCACGAAGCTGCGCTGCGTCGATCATCTCTAAAGTGAAGAGTCACATATGGGATAGATGTTCAAACTGTCCCGGAAAGCTTTTGCGCCGGCACGTAGCCATACTGGATAGGGATTCTGTTCACACGTAAGAACGGTGATTTCGGCGCGATTTCTGTAGCGGCACGAAGCTGCGCTGCGCCGAACTCTTAAGTGGAGAGTCACCTATCGGATGGATGTTCTCACTATAACGTATAGCTTTTCGAGTCAGCACGAAAAGCTAGCCGATATAGTGTGAACACAGCCTTAATTTAGAGGCTGGTATCTTTTAACAAACGACTTGTACAAGGGCAAATTTAAAATCTTAAAAAGCTGTGACTATATTTACTGTGAGTAGGTATACTTTAACGAAAAAATTTGCCGTGAGGATGAGGCTTAAATCATGATTTGCTGTTTCACTTACCAATAAGCATTCCTGGATGATTTGTGTTGGACACGTGTTCGACATCAACTCCCTATAAAGATGAAACCAATAAAACTGATATCAGAGGAAGTTATTAGTGGCTACTTCAATATGCAAGTTCTGCATATGATACAGTCAGTTCCTGACAAGTGCGCGAACCGGGGCAAAATGTGAGCAGTACTGACTCTCATAAGCGGCCAGCTCTACTTACGGACATCTTCACAAAACCCCGTTTTTCTCGACTCCCATACAAACTCTGTATTTTTGCATTGATTTCTCGTAAGCGGCCAGCTCTAGTTACGGACACCATTTTCGCGTCCCGAAGATGTCCGCTTAGGGAAGCTTTCACTGAATAAAATCGGCACAGGCATAAAACGTCTTTCAGTAAATTGCACAGGAAATGCGTTCAGAACAACATAGGTGGAAAATACGAGTGCAAAAAAAAAAAAGTTACGAAAAAGCGCGGAAAACGTACACAAAATTAAGTAAGAGCGTATAATGCAAGCTTGCCTTTGTCGGAATCTTAATAGTAAAACACTCATAAGTTTGAAAATTGTTACCATCTTCGCTACTCTCCATTCTGGGCTTGGTTCAGGGTGTCCTGGAAACAAGTCTATTGTAAAATAATCGCGGAAATTTGTTTTACTGATATGCTTCACATGAGGACATTCGTCGTCGACATCCGGGACTTTGTCCCCATCATAGTCATCTATGCATGCGTCACCAACTGGATTAGCTGAAAAAAAAATTAGTGATTTTACTCTGACTTAGGTCATTAGTGGATTTCTTAATTATAGATCCACACATAAGAAGAAAAAAGAAAAAAAGCAAACAAAACAACAAAAACTCGTAAAATCTGGAAAAACGCCTGCCCATTATACTTCTACATTTTCCCTTAATATTTTCATTGAAATTAATTATTTTTCACCTTTGACGTCATATGAAAGTTTGTTATGCTCCTGATGTGGGTTGCTGATCATAGGGCAATTATCCCAAATGTTGGTTATCCCATCGTTATCCTGGTCGTCATCACAGGCGTCACCTAATAACGAATGCAAAGTGTGACGTAAATGGAGAGTAAAGCGATCAGATAGAAAATGTATATGATATTTAGAGAGAATTAGAGTGAATAACGGTTACGGCAAATGGCAAACGGTAAACGGCAGATTCAGGTAAAGAATTTGCTCAAAATAGAAAATGAGCTGATAAAAACAGTCCAAAACAATTCTTAAACGAGTAAAAACTAACGGAATAATGTTCCGACGTTTCGGTGACATTATGACGCCATTATCAAGGAATGGACTGAATAAATGCGTGTTTAAGAAGAGTTAAAGTACTCCAAATTTGCATGAATGAACACAGTTAGACAAAGACTTTAGCTCGGATTGAATACGTTTGAACGTTCAAAGGCGGTCTTAATTGTTTGATGTAAAGTATTTCGTTTATTCATGCAAAGTTAGAGTACTTTAACTCCTCTTGAACTCGCATTTATTTCCATTTCTTGATAATGACGTCATGACGTCGCCGAAACGTGGGAACATTGTCTCCTTGGTTTTAACACGTTTATGTTTCTCCAATTTATTTTTTATGAAAACAATTCTTGTGGATGAAAATAATGTGAAACTAATAATTTTTTGTGGAAATAAAAAACAGTTTAAGACAAGTAAAGGGAAAACGTGGTCGCGTGGTACAAATTCACTTTTGCCGTAAACGTGTTTCTCAATCTCTCTCTATTTTATTATTGTTTTTTACCTTTTTTGTCTCCATCAGCATCTGCTTGGTCACCATTTGGCAAATCAGGGCAGCTGTCAAATTCGTCAAGGACTCCGTCACCGTCCCTTGAAACAATAACAAAGAGGAATAAATCCCTTAATATCGTGTCTCTCTGCTTGCTGAAAAAACACGGAATACTTACTGGAGTCGTAATACTGAATTAAGAGTTAGCTCAAATCAAATGGAACCAGGGTCGGGTTGCAAAAAAACATCTAAAGATTAAGGGAACTAGTAACTATGATTTAAAAACAACACATTACTGTTCCAGAACAAAAGTTAAGAGCCCTCTTATCTTAAGAAGGTTTTATGTAACCCGGGCCAGGCTTCTATAGTTCAAAAATAGGGGACAGCGCTATCCACCGGATAAATCCCTTTCCAGCGGATAAGTCTCAGGGAAACCAATTGCCGTATGGATTGGTTGCAGCGGAAGAAGAATTTTAGTTGCGAAGAATTTCTCGAGCAACGAAAGAGACTAAGGCAGTATAGTCATGAAACCCATTTATTAAGCTGCAACTACTTTAAATAAGTATCACTTACTTATCTTTCCCTGGTCCGTCACATTGATCACCAAAACCGTTTTCATCTCTGTCCGTCTGAAAAAGTGATTGACATATGAACTCACAATGTACTTTGTTGAGCCAATCAAATAAATGTAAATAGTTCGCTGTGACTGCTATAACTCCACCTACCGCTTTTAAAACAAAGTTCCACTAACATAACCGAGGATATAGCCTTTTTTAATTTCTCACTAGCATTTTAAAGGCAAACTCGAGATTTCTGTTGTTACGCCCTACCCCCAAGTCAACTATATATTATCAAAGTCAAGAAACTGATGGAAAATCTTCTCATTGTTGTTGTAAAACCCAGTAGCTTTCAATGATAAATTTTAAAGCAGTTTCTAATGAGTTTTGTCAAGTGTTTGCTGGCATAAAATTCGAGTTTTCTCTTTTACACTGCGCATCGCCTACTGTAAATGACATTGCAACATCTAAGGTCTGAAGGTTGCAGCGATTTTCACCGGTCGCCTGAAGAGAGATAACAAAAGTTGGCTTTTGAAGTCAAAATTTTTTTAAAGACTTTAATAATGATAACGATAACTTCTTCAGGTTAAAAGGGTGTTAATTATCAAACTTGCCCAAGTCCTCTCGCGTAAAATTATCATTTCAATTTGAAATTATCGCTTTGTCATCTTCTTTCAATGAAACGAACTTGATGCATAACCCGTCTGTTTTGTTTGTGTTTCTTACTCGTATTGGTTACACAAAAAATGTACTTTTAAGAATAAAATTTGGATGGTAGAGGGACTTGAAGCAGAATTGGTACTTATTATAAATGATGCCGAAACTCTGCATTAAGAACTCAAGATTTAGAGCCACCAGGAATTATGAGATATGTTCCGGTTTTTGTAGCTTTTATGGTTTTTGCTATACAATAATTTTTGGTTGTTCAAATTGCGATCATTTCGCAACCAAGAAAAAAAAAACACTTAGTATCATAGGGACGTAGGGCGAAAACAAACAGGATGGCCCCATCTTTTTATTGCAGTCTTGCAATGCTCTGTACATCACTATTAATTTGGCCTGAGAAACCAGACGACATTTTTCGAAATGACGTCTGAGAAACGAGCACAGAAATTCCATACTGATGACGCTTTACTACCCAGATTTGTGTGGTGGTTCTGATTGGCTGAAGCAACTTTTACACGCGGCACGACCAATCAGAAACACTACCACCCAGATCTGGGTAGTGACGAGTCATCAGTATGGAATTTCTGCGCTCCTTTCTCAGACGTCATTTCGTGGGGAAAGCGTTTTTGGCGTCCCGAAATGTCGTCTGTTTTCTTAGGCTACTATTAATTGCGACAATTTTTTACAAAAACTGGATAGTACATTCTTTTCACGGAAGTTATCTTAAGGGCTCTAAGCAGGGATCAGGAAAGTTCACTGTAATGAAATGTGACTTTTGTCATGCTCTTCAAATATCTTGCTGTGGAAAATATATATCTCACCTGAAGACTGTTATCATTGTTAGGACAATTGTCACACAGGTTACCCACACCATCTCCGTCATCATCAACTTGGTCTCCAGTGGCGTTTAACTTGGGACATCTATCAGCGCTATTTCTTATTCCTATGGGAAGGAAGCAACAAGTAGGTGTCTATTTCACAAACCTGCACCCCAGCTTAACTAATATTTACTTTATATATCTTTCTCCCTTATACGTATTTCTGATCCCAGCCCATTAAGGGTGTTTTCGATTGACCGTATTCCCGAATACGAATAAATGCCGTAGGAACTAAAAATGACGTATTTTGGCGTTAACTGCTCAATTGAAATAAAATATTCCGATGTATTTAGCTTTTACGTAGTACAAAAATCACGGTACAAGAGATTTGCAACAAAACTTGTGCGAGAATCTTGTTTCTGAATACGATCAGGCCGACGAAGGTAACCTAAATGCTTATAGGGGCGTAGCCAGATTTTCGACTACAGTAGTTGTAGGCCTCGCTGACTTTCATTTCCACATATCCTGAAAACTGCACGCATGACTAGTACGCACTGACCTCAGCATCTCTTTGAGCTCTTAAGCCCTTTAGCTCACCCCCAAAACGCATAATTTATTACAAGCGGTAGAGTGATCAAACCAAAAATGTGTAAGCCCGGGCCTACAGGTCAATGGGTTGGCTACGCCCCTGGCTTAAAGCTATGGTTTAAGTTTCTTTTGCCTAATAACAATTTACCATCACCATCTTGATCATCATCACACAAATCTCCTAAGCCGTCTCCGTCAGTATTTGTCTGGTCAGGATTTTTTATAGACACACAGTTATCGCAGGCGTCACCTACTCCATCGTTGTCACCGTCCATCTGGTCCAGATTCTTCACAAATATGCAGTTGTCCTAGTAAAAAAGGTTCGTGAACATTATTTTGACCTCCAACGTTTTCCAAAGAGTTATCCTTGGTTTCCTGATATGGACCACCTGTAACAGCGCAATTGATGTAGAGTTTTCGATAAATTTTAGATTGTTTGGTGCGGTTATTCTAAAGCCTCGATTGGTAGTCACAACTTTTAATTTGGCCTCCCCCAAAATCAGTTAAATGCGTCTTTAACTCTGAACTGTGTCAGAGCCGAGGAGGATATATAATGTAGACTAGAGGAAGATATATATTATAGAGATTAGGGTGAAGTTTACGGCAAACGGCAAACGTCAGATTCAAGGCAGCTAAAAACAGTCCAAAACTATTGTTAAAGACAAAACTAACGTGAAACTACTAATTTTGGTAAGTAATAAACAGTGTAACAAAAGTTAAAAAGAAAAGGTCACGTGGTGTATATTTACGTTTGCCGTAAACGTCACTCAAAATCTCTCTATTATTACCCAATTATAAACCACCAGACGTTAGCTCTTTCAGCTTATCAACCTTATACGGCACTCCAAGCTAGTTTTTTGTTTTGTGATCACGAGTGTCCGTCATGATTTTACTTTAAGATTCATTTCGCAGAACTTAAAGTTAGACACTCCTTTACCGTTTGTTTGATTCAAAAAAGTCAAGTAGGCCAACTTAATGTGAAGAGGAGATAACGGGGAAGGTTTTTTGGTTATACCGCCTTTTGAGGTCTAACGGTCCCTTATTCACATGTAACAGACCTGCTTATCAGGAATCAAATCGTTATCATCATCTTCATCACAAGCATCTCCATCTGTGTCATGATCATTATCTTCCTGACCCGTGTTAGGTACACCCGGGCAGTTATCCTGCAAGCCAGGAAATACCAGAAATTATCGCATGGTTAGTCAAGTACTTTACACAAGGAAGAAACAGTCAAGCGATTATGCTTATCGACAAATTAAGTAAATGAATATTCAAAGACGAGTCGGAGAATACCTGAAGGACTCTGAGAGAACATAACACTGCAAGCCCTTTACTAGAATTGTGCAAAACCTCTTTTTACGTTCCGCTAAACATTATCTGCATGCAAAGGGTTAAATATGTAGGAATAACAACTTTAAAAGTTCTTCAGATTTAAATTTATAGAATCATTTTGTTCTTATGACGTCGTCTCTGCGTAAGATTACTTTTACAAGGTATAATATCTAACAATTTGCGCCTAGCTTTCGAAAGTTTGCGGGAGATGGGGTAGACTGTGTTGAAGAAGGTTGATCCCTTATCAATGAGAGATTGAACAAACCTTTCTACAGTTCGGAAGGGTACAGCTCAGTCCTTTGACAGGAATGTTATCCAAGTCGGGATCTAATTCACATTCCTCTCCATCACCTGCATATCCATCCCTACACTATGTTGCGGAACCATGAGAAAGGATAGAAATGTCATAGCAATATACTACAAGTAAACAATCTAGCCCCGGTTGTTCAAACGTTGGATAGCGCTATCCACCGGATAAATCACTATCCAGTGGATAAGTATTTCTGAAATCAATTACGCTATCCGCTGGATAGTGATTTATCCGGTTGATAGCGCTATCCAACGTTTGAACAACCGGGGCCTGATACTAATTTAGTCGTTGAGATAAACAATCAAAATTACCAAAAACAAAAATTCTGACTGAGCAAGTCTAATAATTAAGATGATGCAAGGTAGGTTAAAAATTAGTGGCTTTTAATTAGCTTTAAAAAGAAGCGACTTTTTAAAACATTTAGCTATAAAAATTTGCGAAAAAAGCGTTTCTTAAAACATTTAAGAAGTTTTAAAAAAGTTAAAAATACACGACGTTTCGACGTTACCGAACGTTATTGTCAAGTGAAGTGAAAATAAAATAATATTAATGTCCTATAAATACAAGAAAAACAATAGTTGGATTAAAGTTAAGGAAAGTAACATATAAAAATATGTTACAAGTCAAACAAAGAGTTAAGCACTGATGGAGTCACTCTGAGTCACTCTTTAGTTAGCTCCTTTCTTTTCAAAACTGTTTACCTATCGCCTCAAGAAGATGAGTAGCGAATCTTAAGAGGATCGCAAATCGACGATCTGAAATGGGTGACTGAAAACATTTCACTATAGAACTTTGTTCTGTATAATCTTATGATGAGATGGCGATGATCTAGAGTAACAGTAACGATTAATTGAATTTTCTTACCGTGCATTTGTATCTTCCCGCTCCTGTTGAGGAACACTGTGCATTGACTTGGCAGGTGTGCTGTGCAGTAGTGCACAGGTCACCAGGGTAACATCCCAGATACCCATCTCCAATGAAACCTGGTTTACAAGGGCTGCATTTGTAACTTCCCTATCGCAACGGAAACATCGGTAGAGAGTCAGACTGGAGGAGCACTATGAATACTTTCAGCTGACATTCAAAAGTTGACAAAGGCTGTCTACAATGTTTCTTACTTGACCTGACTAGATTTTTGATCTATCAAAACATAATAGTGACAAACAGTCCCGCCGTTCTTTCTCAAAACCATTGATCTTTGGTTTTTCAGGTAATGCGCAAAATCAGTAAACAAATCCGCAAGCAAGGCTCCTGATGATCGCTTTAGCAAGTTGTGAAAACATTATTTGGATTTCATTTAAGAGAACGTATGGGGAGAAGCTCCCCGCCCACCATCTAAATAAGTGATCTTGATACACTTGTGACGCTACAGTGTTCATTAATATTCTAGGATACCTCACCGCATTATAAGTCGGATTTCTTCGGATAATTATTAACTTTCCATCCTAGAGGTTATCCTTTTTGCTAGTGTAAGTAGTTTTAATGTTTGCACATTCGAAAGCAATTGAGATAGCTCGGAGTGAATTTGGGTCATGCATTAAATAATTTAGTTGAGGCTAATAGACTTGTCGAGGGTGATGTCGTTAGACACTTACCGGCGTGTTAATGCAGTTTGAATTTGGATCACAAGTGTCGATATGCTCAGCGCATTCATCGATTTCCTCACACTTTTGTTTGTACTTCTGTGCATGCTTCAAGCCCACGCCTGAAGGAGCGTTACCACGGTAACCGGTCGGACACCCTCCACAGCGATATCCGGGAGACAGATTCACACATTCACCGGGATCATAACATGGGTTTGCCAAAGTGCACTAAAGAACAAAAACTATCATCAATAAGTAGTGAACATGTAGGTTACTTTTTCTGCTAAGTGAACTAGTATTTATGCGCAAATGCCACGTATTGCCGCACATTGTTGCAAAAGTGAACATGATGGCAGTTTTAGGTTGAATCTTAACTTGTTTATAAACTGGTTGTTTGTTTTGTTGTCGGTTTTTTTCGTCGGTTGGCATGTTAGTGAGCCAACTTCGATACTAAAACACAAAGAGTTATCTAAGATACCTTATCGGAGCTGGACTGCATGCTGCAGTAAAGCCTGTATTTGAAACTAAGCTCACTGGTCCCTATTTATTGTCCGCTTAATTAGTATTGGTTCAATTTGGTTAAATGTAATTTAACTAAGTTAACCACCACGAGCTTAGCGGTCAAGCGGTTCACAAGCGTAGCGGTCAAGCAATTCACAAGCATAGCGGTCAAGCGGTTCACAAGCTTAGCAGTTGAGCGGTCCACAAGTTAAGCGGTCTAGCGGTCCACAAGCTTTAGCGGTCAAGCGGTCTACAAGCTTTTAGCGGTCAAGCGGCCCACGAGCGTAGCGGGCATCCAGCGGTCAATCCCATAAGTGCAGGCTCACATGGTGTGTGGTAGCTTTGTACATGGCTAGGATCTGCGAGTTGTTCATCGAGCGTTTGTGCAGTGGTCTGTGGAGCGGTTCATTTAGCGTCTTCGCCATTTTTAGCGATCTTTGGAGCGTCAGTCTTACAGTGTGCTTTTTCTTGTATCCTTTTTTTCTTTCATTTATTTTTCAAAGCGTGCGGGTCGTCACGTTCGTTCAGGATGCGTACCACGAACAACAGCCTGTCAACGATGTCTTCCCCGGTTACCGCGTCTTCGCCTTCTTCTAGCGGTTCTACCCCAGCTCCTACAGTTAACACCTCGGCTTCTCCGCCAAGTCAACCTGTTTCCCTGCCGGACACCAACGCGCTAGCCCAGGCAATTTCAAGAGCTCTCGCGGAATCGCTCCCTCCGCTGCTATCTTCCCTTCGAGATTCCAGTGGCGGGAACTCGAACACGGCCGCGGCGTCTGTTCCTCTCTCCTCGACTTCGACTTCTACGCAGTCTCCGGCATCCTCTAGCTCCAGTACCCTGGCTCTACCTCCCAGTCTTTAGGTACGCTTGTTGTGCCCTCATTTATTTCAACGTACAGCTCATCTGGCGGTCCTTCGGTAGTCTCCTCTCTTCCCGCCACGTCCTCCGCCAACTTGCCTGTAGTGGTTGGGGCTCTTGTGGTGGCGCGACCGGAACCGAGTCCTCTACGCTTCCAAACCTCAATAAAGCATTTGTGGTGGGCCCTGGCTATGCTCCAGTCCCCTTTAAGCTTGTTTCTAAAATTACCGCAGGGCTTTTTGTAGACTTGGCTGACCTCCTTCCGGACAACATCAGAGCTCAAGAAATCGAACCCCAAGCGTTTTTGGAGGGAAAACTGGTGGTATCAGGGTCGAAGAAACGGGTCATTGAAATAGCAGACATCATCACCTGGATTGAAGCCTTCACAATCTTTTCTATGATTCTTTGCCACACCTTCCCTCTCGCTGGAAAGATTTAAATCAGTACAAGTTACTCATCATCCAGACAGCAAGGCGCTTTTCTGACAAATCGTGGCTCCACTACGACATCGCCTTCCGAAAAGAAGCCGCAGCCTCAGGTTCAACCGACTGGTCTCGCATGCACCCAGACCTCTACAACTTTCACACCAGATCTCCAGTGACCACCTCAACTGCTTCAGGCTCCTCAACTTCCTCTGCCTCGTCACTATCAGAGCCTCTTGGGTCTTCAGGCAATCCCCGGTCTAGCCAGTATTGCCACTCCTGGAACGACGGGCGCTGTCGCTGGCCCTTTGGTCGCTGTCGGTTTCGTCACTCCTGTGAATCGTGCCACGGGGACCACCCCCGCATCCACTGCCCTCACCGGTCCGCGCGGAGAGAACGGTCCCGCTCCCCTTCTCAGTCAAAGGGGGGTCTCCGCCGTCGCTAGGCAACCTCTAGCCAATTCAACTGTAAATAGTTTTGTTCCTGTTCACGTTGGTTCTCATGGTAATTTTTCAGCGTTAGAGTTGCGTTCTCCTTTTGTGTTACCTTCTCAGCAGCAGGGTCTGCCGAGTTCCAGTTCTTCGTTGTGTTCTCCAGCTGTTTGTCCTTTAAGACCAGTTTCTCAGCTTACTCCCATCAATGTGGATAGATTCCAGCATGAACTCTGTCATCATCCTAACCCAGACAAAGTTGCATATGTGGTCCAAGGCCTTCGCGATGGTTTTCACCTAGGTTTCAATTACAGTACTTCCCTGAAGTCGGCAACAGGGAATATGGCTTCAGCACTCCTGAACCCTCAGGTCATTGACAATTACTTGCAGTCGGAAGTTCAGTCAGGCAGGGTGGCGGGCCCCTTCTCCCAGCCTCCCCTCCCTGTCCTCCACGTGAGTCGTTTCGGCGTCATCCCCAAACGCCACCAACCTGGCAAATGGCGTCTTATCCTGGACCTGTCTAGCCCTGCGGGGCACAGTGTCAACGACGGAATTGCGGGCGAGGATTATTCTCTGCAGTACATGAAGGTAGATGACATTATTGCAGGCATAATGCAGCTGGGGCGGGGTTCCCTCATGGCGAAATTTGACGTGCAAAATGCATACCGTATTGTGCCAGTCCATACAGAAGATCGCCAGTTGCTGGGTATGAAATGGCGTGGTGCCTTTTATGTTGATATGGTCCTGCCTTTTGGTGTCAGGTCAGCTCCATATATCTTCACATGTATAGCAGACTTAGTGGAGTGGGTGGCCAAGCAAAACTACGATGTCACCTTCCTGATGCATTACCTTGATGACTTCCACACTCTTGGCCCTCCCGGCTCCTCTGTTTGTCAACATAATCTGGACAGGTCAATTGTCTGTTTTTCTAAGCTTGGCATCCCCCTCCATCCAGACAAACTAGAAGGGCCGTCGACGTGCCTAACCATCCTGGGCATTGAACTGGACTCTCTTAATCTGCTGGCACGCCTTCCTCAGGACAAATTTGATAGGATAACTGCCTTGTTGGAAGATTGGTCACAAAAGCGTTGGTGTAAACGCAAGGATCTGGAGTCCCTAATAGGTCACCTTCAGCATGCCTGCAAAGTCGTACCCCAAGGTCGCTCATTCTTGCGCCGAATGATTAACCTACTATGTGCCTTTCGACGCGATGACCACCGATTCGTCTCAATCAAGAGTTCTTTCTTGACCTAGCCTGGTGGCAAGAGTTTTTCCAGTCTTGGAATGGTTGCAGCTTTCTTCAGTACCCCCAGTGGGCTCCAATTCCTGACTTCGAGGTTTCTTCAGATGCCTCTGGGGCTCTTGGTTATGGAGCAGTCTTCCAGGGTCACTGGTTTTCAGGTGCATGGCTCCCATCACAGGTCTCTCAGTCTATCGAGTACAGGGAACTTTTCCCTATCGTCGTGGCAGCTTACCTCTGGGGCCCCCAGTGGGCCTCCAAACGGGTCAACTTCCTATCAGATAACCGCTCAGTGGTGGACATTTTGCGGTCTGGCACTTCAAGAGCCCCTACCATCATGTCCTTGGTTCGCTATCTGTCCCTGTTGGCAGCTCGTCACTCCTTCTCCTTCACTGCCTCCCCAGTTAGAGGGAAGTCTAACCCCATTGCTGACTCCCTGTCTCGCTTTCAGTTTCAGCGTTTTCGCCGGCTAGCTCCTCTTGCAGACTCCATTCCAACCCAGATTCCACAGCAGCTCCTCTCGGACTTGGATCTTCGCTGTCAGATAAATACCACTTCTATTTGACTCAGGGTCTTGCCCCCTCCACTAGGAAAGTCTATGCTTCTGCCCAACGCCGCTTCTTGGATTTCTGTGCTCAGGACAATAGCCTATCTCCTTCGGGATCAGCTCTTCCAGCCAGTGAAGACGTGCTCATCCGTTTCTGCTGTCATCTTGCTGATACTCTTCACCATTCATCCATAAAGGTTTACCTTTCAGCAATTCGGTCCCTTCACATTGAGGAGGGTCATCCTTCTCCGCTGGTTGGTTGCCTTCGGTTACAGCGGGTGTTGCGGGGCATCAAACGTCACCAAGGCTCAAATAAGCGTCAGCGCCAACCCATCACAATCGAGCTGATGCACATTATCTTCCAGTCCTTGAACTTCTCTGACTACAACCATACAATGCTTTGGGCTGCCTGCTGTCTCGGGTTTTTTGGTTTCTTACGTGCTGGTGAGTTTACTGTCAACTCTCCCTTCAATCCTGACATCCACCTTGCTGTCAGTGATGTCCAAGCAGATTCCCTAGTCAATCCTAGCAGCTTCAGGATTCATATTAAGTGCTCTAAGACGGACCCCTTTCGCCAAGGTTGCCATATTTACATTGGTGCTGGTAAACGTGATCTCTGCCCTGTGCGCGCCCTTACCCAGTATCTACACGTCCGTGGCTCAACTCCTGGCCCACTCTTCCTTCTCTCTGATGGCACCCCTCTACATCGCCAATGGCTGACATCCAGTATTCAGTCTATCTTCTCCGCTGCTGGGGTCACTGGTTGCTACACCGGTCATAGCTTCCGCATTGGCGCTGCTACTTCAGCAGCCTCTCGTGGCTTACCAGATCACCTCATCAAGACACTTGGCAGATGGTCCAGCGATGCGTATCAGATCTATATTCACACTCCCGTCAGTACTATCGTGGGGGTAGCAAGCCTTCTCACTTGACAGGTATTTTCTTGCGTATCTTTCTCTTTTCCTAGTTGTCCTTGTAGGGTGCCTCGGGACTTGGGTAGTTCGGGGCCAGGGCTTCCCCCAGCCCTGAGCCCCTCTTTCCCTCTCCGATCTGGCTGCGTCAGCTCGGAGAGTCCCTTCGGCTTGGAATGGGGGCTCATGGCTGGGTTGCGGGGATTTGCCAGCCATGGGGGCAGTTTTTCTATCTAGGGGCTGGCTGGCCACAGTGGAAGCCCCTGGGTATCCCAGGCACCCACCTTCCACTTAAGCGAGGCAGTTGGTTAAATTTGCAGAAAATAAGTGAAAAAATTTAGGACTTACTGACGTTTTCGCCCGATCTTTACTTGGTGTCAGCTTATTATGGGAACTTCGTATAATACAGATTTCACTGTATGCTTTAGTTCCTGAACCTGAATTTCCGAAATATTTTGCACGTAAATCAAAAGTGCTTTGTACCGACCAACCAGTTCACCATACCTCGGCGTAGGTTACATTAATCACATTCATAGTAGTAAGTACCTCATTGACATCTGTACATGTTTGGCCGTCTCCTATAAAGCCTTCAGGACAAGATTCACACTCAAAAGATCCGTTGCCAACATTGTGGCATTCAACTGAATGAAAGCAAGGATCTGCCATACAAGGACCTGTTTTTTGTTGTTGAAAAAGATGAAAAGGAAAAATTGTTTAATAGGGAGTATTTAAAACGTTCCGTTTCCTAATGAGTTACGTATGTATTGTGCCATGAGTAGCTTAGGAAAAGTTGTCACTATAACAAATTTGATTGCCTTGGGTGGGTCTGTTCAGTTATAAGGAACAGATGAAGTCAAAGGCGAGTGTTTTTAACACATTTTTACGTTATCTATAAACTTAAAGTGAACAGAACATGGCAAAATGGACTCTTTTTGTCTTAAATGAAAACAGAAAACATCGCCTTCCACGATTCTTCCAAGGTCTGCTCTAATTTTGGAGTTTTAGGAATTTTTTTCACATTTGATTCTACGGTGAAACCTCGTTCCCAGGGTTCTCTTTAAAAATTTCTCTTTTTGTTACATAATTAGTTGAAATTTGAAATTTTGCTGTCAATCTTGTGATGTCATTTTCCGCCAAAAGCCTTTGAAATCGAAGAACAAAAGAGCATAAGATTGTTTGGAATACAAAGTTCTACCATATTGCAAAGTTTGAGCTGAAACGGGTAAAACCTGCAACAGTGGCTCCTAGAGTGCAGTTTTAGACGTTCTGCTGACCCAGCCTGAACAGTATTCCTCTACGGCTGATTGTTGTTGACGTAGTAGTCAATATTTTTCGATCAGACACATTAACTAGAAACTTAAGAAGAAGTTAATATATATTTGTTGCTACCTACATGACGCTTTAGTGAAGCACGTCCGACAAAGAGTGCAGTTGGGAAAAGATCCCTGGTCAGCGTACTCATTGGCAGGACATGCCCGACATGATGTCTTCATGTAAGTACTACTGTAACCTGGTCTGCAACAGTAGCAAGTTTCAGCCCTAGATACGTTGTTATAACTTCCTGGTGGGCATATTTTACAAGGAAAACCTAAAAGAAAAATAACGTTAGCTTGTTAGGTGATTAAAAAAGGCACAAAAAATGCACTTATATGAGCTGCAGAATTTTATAGGGGATGTAAGTTACGTATTTGTCTGTGCAAGACTTATTACGATTATTTAAAAATTCTAATAATTTTCAGCCAATAGCAAGGCTGATATCGAAGGAAAAAGACACTTCTGATTAACTGCTAAATTTCCTGGCGAATTACCCTACATTTGTTTGTGAATGAATAAGAGAATTTGATGCTCTGAGCAAACTTAATACCCGCAAAATGGAAACCCAATAGAGTTTATGTGTTATTGCTCACCAGTTCCATCACTGTATGTTCCCGGTAGACACTCATACTGTCTTCCTTCTCGACAGACAGTCCCAGGCTCACAGGGAAAACACCTTTCTGGGCACCACTGACATACGAAGCAAATCGTCAAATTCGTTAAATCATTTGCAGTTAACTACTTGCGAACACAAGCCACAAGTGTAACGTCGTTTGAAAGATCATTAAATGAATTTGACATTATCATTGATGATTAACTCACCGTTGCGTTACATTTCACGTGCGTGTTGGGTGGACATGGTAAGGCAGTGCCATTGTGACAAAGCTGAAATAGAAAATGGTAGCATTATCACATCAACGCCTATAATACTCTTATAAGGGCCACTTTCCCGATGATGACTTTTTATTATTAATAATACGACCAGAATCTGCTTCCTTGTGCAAGTTGGGATTTCTAATTATATACACGAGAGGAAAAACGACATGGATTCCGGCTGTAGTAGTAAAATGACCCGATCGTGCAAATGGCCAATTTTCTTAACAGAGATTTCCAAAGTAACAGTTAAGTGCTTTCATCAAGGCAATTGAACGCTGTTAGATTAGAAATTCAGGCAAGAGACGATACGTAAGCTGCGTCTCGGTTTTCTACCTTTAAAGTCCGTAGGTATAAGATGCCGTCAAATCTTACCCATCCTTCTGGACATGCGCTGCAGTTTTGTGCTCCTCCAAACGAGAACTCTGTTGGTGACGTCACTCCGCATTTTTCCTCAGTTCCGTCTCCTACACAGTAGTACCCAGTCCTACAGCGTCGACACTTAGGTTTCGTGGTCGAATTTCTGGCTGCAATGGCAAAACATTGGTACCATTTTTTAAACAGTTCACCAAAATGAATTTTTTAAAGAATTAATTGGTTCGAGTCATGATCAAGTAGAAATTTTATCATCAAGCAACGAGGTAAATGACAATTTTGTCGCTGTATGAAATGTCTTTGTTTTTTCTTATCCGAACTATCTAACTGGTGAACATAGCTTCACACATTTATGTATAGTAAATAAATAGCACGCCCAATCTTCCGGGGCAATATTGCCGACAACAAACTGTGAGGAAATAACAACCATAACTTATGTCTAACAACTTACGATACTCCGACACTGTCAAGCCTGGCGCTCTAAAAAACACTTCTCCGCTTGTCTCATTTACGAAAATTCCTCCTGATTCTTGGCAAGTAGCGTTGAAAGAGATTGTCAGTGGTATTCTGTCCCCTCGTTTCGGCGTCCCTCCGTCCACTGCAAATACGAAGTACTGGTATGTCCACTCAATAGTTTTATTGCTCCAAATAAACTCCGTTCCATTCCTTATCGCGTACTTAGTGGCTTCAATTCGAGGACTACGAAACAATAGAGAGGGATCTTACCATCAGTAATGAATACTTAGCTCCTAGATGGTATCAATTTGAATTTCGCTTAAGTTGACGACTTTCTCTCGGCGCAAACATTTCACCGATCTCAGAGCAAAACGAATCTATAGAATAACGCCTTGATTTAACTTAATATTTAGAAGAATTTCTTCTATTGAACTAACCCAAAGAGTGCTTCGATGCTGTGTCTTCATTGTTTCCGAACATGTATAACAGAGGTTTTTTTTACTAAAGAATTGCTGTCAGTTCCATTTAACTTTCTCAAAAAGAGGAAACACTCGAAATGACCACAAAAAATTATAAGAAAAACCTTGCAATTGTTACTTACATGGCTTTCAATATATGACTTCGCTTATAAGTAATCTTTCCGTTTATCCCACTATCTCCATCAGTTGCTACCGCAACAAAGAAGGCAGCCTCCTGGAGCGGTGGTATTGGCTTTAAGTCGTAGTCCACATTTGGTAGAACTGGGCAGTGGTCATTATAGTCCAAAACAAATATCTATAGAAGAAGAAGTACGAAGACGGAAAAGAACACAGTGAACGAAGGTAGTAAAACTAAATAAGAGAATGGTTACAATTTCTATTGTGTGAGAAGGATTAAAGAGCTTCAAAACTTTTACCAAGCTATAGCTTGATTAAGTAGGTTCTTCAATTAAGAAAATGGATTTAACGATGTATTATATGTCATGAAATGCCATTGGGAATTGCCTATCAAGAGCTCTTGGGCGCTTTCCATTCAACCAAAACTTCCAAAAATTTGGAAACAGCGGCAAATGGTACAGAAATTTTCCTGAAAAGTTTCCAGAAATTCCGGAAACTGTTGAATTCTCTGAAATGAGGATCATTCAACAGAAAATTCCAGAAATTCCGGGACCAAAGTTGAATGGAGAAAAACTTCCTGGAAGTTAGGTATAAATCGCGAGGTTGTCCTCTTTTTTCGAAATTGCATTCGCTACTGGAAGTTGCCTAAAATTCAAACCGGATTTTTTGGTTAAATGGAAAGTGCCCCTTGTTCTCCTAATTTCCACCCCGTCTTTAATTTCAGTTTCCAAACATCCGTAAAATACACGCTATCACTCCGGTTTATCGTTACTTACGTCTTCTTGAAGCACAGTAAAGTTCAATATAAAAAAAAAAAATAAAAACGTCACCTTGACTGTGACATTTCCTGACGGTTGTGTTGCCTTTCCTATATCTGTAATCCTTAAAGTCAAAGAATAGCTTCTTGTGTGCTCGTAATCCAGTTCCGACTTCAGAACTATCCACGCTGTTGGAGTGTTGACTGTAAAGGTCTCGATCACTAGAAAAAACACAAAAGCAAGTTTACTGATCGGCCACTAATTACTATTTTCTTCAACAATTATATGATGGATCACTTAGGCCCGGTTCAGACGCCGCTCCACTCATGTGCCGAACCTAACTGATGAATTAAGTACGGCAAAAGAGCGGCGTCTGAATCAATTTGGAACGGCAGTTTTAGTTAGGTTCGACACACGTTACGCCGTCTGAATCAGATGTCGCGCCAGTGTCACTCCAAAGTCGAACTTATTCAGTTAGGTTCGGCACATGAAAAGTAAGGCGTCTGAACTAGGCCTTAAGAGACTTTATTATAGATCGCACTCACTATCTGTCTTCTCAATGCCTTAGAGCCTTCAGTTAATTTTTGGAAATCAGCGCAATCTACAGATTAGTTAGTTATCTGCTAGCAGAAAACTGACTAATCTGTAGGTTGCGCGCGCAATGAATGATTTCCGAGAGCAATGACAAACTGTGTTCCGTTCTATACGGCGTGTTTGTCGTTATTTTCTTAAACCCAGTGTATAATAACACAATTATTACACTCGGTTTTTGAGATATCCGGAATAACCAAGGTCTCCGTAGGTGTTATCAACCTCGGCTAACACTTACCTCGACCTTTACTATTTCGGATATCACATAAGCTTCAGCGAATAATTGTTTAATATCAAGCACTTAAAAAGAGGTGTTTCATCCGATACCCAGAGACTAGCCTGCCTAGCAAGCGTTTCCGTTTGGTTTCGGAGCAAAGAAAGACCGAGGAACTCTCCCGTTCCTCGTTCTTTGCACCTAAACTGCACGAAAACGCTTGCTACAAAGGCCACCCAGAGACCATGGAGTCCTTTGTTTGATTGGTATCTTTACATAACATAAAACATGTCTCCTCGTAACTGATATGACTCTTTTAGCAATCCCTTTATTTTGACATACCTGGTATAGCAGTTGTGATTGGATGGATTGTGGTATTTGCTGTCGCGTTTGGACATAAGAAAATTGTTTCGCCATCCAATACGAAAGAAGGAGGGGCTGCTGTTGGGGAAGGGGAGGGCGGGGAATATGCACCGTCTTTAATGGTGAATCTTCCTTGCTCGTTGCCGGACAAAATTTCGACTCTATAGGGTCCTGTGGAAAATGCATCTGAGACTGCAAACTCCTGGGTAAAGATGTAACGACATAAAACAATTTAAGCATTTATTTGGAATCCTTGCCAACTTAAATCATCGCTTGATTTTCTTTTTTTTGGAAATATAATCATTTTTATCGTGTTTTAAGAAATCATTGCGTACATGAATGTTTGTTTCTGCTCCTAAAGTGTATTGGAATCCCCCTATTTTATTTAAAAATTTAATTTTCTACAACATACACATTTAATCGGTAAAGTTCAACAAAGATCTCACTGCAGGTCATCTTTCAGAAGACTGGCCTTACAGTTAAAACGGCACTGGGATCTTGTAATATTAGCGTCATACCTGAAGCAGTGACCCAACTGTAGTGTTTTCACTGACGTCAGCTATGTAATCAACAGGAAGCATTTCTTCCCATTGTCTCACGAATTGAACTCCGCTGGTCTGGACGAACAGGTTTGAGTCACACTTGAATCGCTCTGCCATAAATACGTCTAAACGGTATTGCTCACCTACCTGGAAAGACAAAACACGGAATAGTACAATTGCACGGTGACGTCATTTTACTAGAACTACCAGAATGTTCTTCAGTTTGTTGTTTTCTTGCACAAATTTAGACTATTGTTTTTAAACTTCAGCAGGACTGACAACTTAAAGTAAGAAAGCAAAAACGAAATGAATTTTAGTCGTTGTAGTCAAATGTCGTTATCGTGAAAATGGCGTTTTCTAGCCGAGACAGGGAAAAGCTTTTCTGCAAAGGTATGCGGTCCAGGCTTTTCAGTTATAAAGAATCAAACATTACGTCCCACATAAGTCATTTATGAGGTTGCTGACCAATAAGAAACGTTTATATAAGCAAAACAAAACTCTGAGAAAATTACCAACATTTCGCGTCGTCACCACTGGTTTCGCCTCGAAATGACGTTTGAGGAACGAGCACAGAAATTCCATACTGATGACGTGTCACTACCCAGATATGGATGCACATCTCTGCTACATGTACCATTCGCGAGACATATTTGTTGTGCTCGAAGCTGTGGTTGGTCACTGATTTAAAAACAGTTTCTTTTCTCACTTTAAGATATGCATTTGAAAATTAAAGTGGAATCTATTTATTTAAGTTTAATTCGTGACTGGTAAACTTACTCTTAACGTCATATTGAAGGCTTGGGATGTGAGATATCCCGATTCTTGACACTTGCCACCAATTATCACTCCGTGTTTGGGAACAATTTCAAGTTCACCTTAAAACAACCGGAGAAATTAATTTTATCAAAGACTTAAGGCGGCCATTGATAAGGGGCTTAATTAAATAGACCAAAGACCCTAGTCGTTTCTCGGCATGTGCTCCAAAAAAGGGGCCGCTAACGCGAAACGAACCGATCATAAATGATACAAATACATGTTGCTGATACAAAGTGCAATAATGATCCGGAATACCCATTCAGTTGGTTTTGCTTTAGTTTCTTTTAACTTTGATTTGTCTAAAAACTGGTGGGAGATACAGTTTTTCTTTTTATCTGAACTAGAAGTGAATTAACACAACGAAGTAATACGAACCCAGAGGGGCTAATCGTTACGAATTTCGTTATTGGTCAAATTTGAGGGTAATAATGGGCCATTGTTGTATAGAATTGTGTATGGGAATATTTCGGGGACGTTGTGTCACTTATTTCATAAGTTAATGGAGTCCTTTAGATTATAAGACCAGGACGGCTACGAGGACGACATTTAAGTTCAGTTTTTTTTTCACCTATGCTCAAAAATATACATTCCGGAAAGCTTTAACGTACTTTTTTTCCATCAGAAAAGTCAACACGGTTATTTTTGTTCAAGGAGGTTAAGCCCTCTCGCCAACAGTTAACATCAACATTTGATAACTTGTTTCTGCCACTATGACATTCTCGCTGAAATCCGCAGTAGAATGACGACGGCCATCAAGTTTTACCGCCAAAATGACGCTTATTCATGCGCGCGCGTAATACTTAGTACTGAGAAAATCTCGTCCTTGTAAACGTCATCGTCGTAGAATCTGAAGATTCCTGTTCATCATTGCGCAGGCAACCGGATCAACATTAGTTGTTCAAAACAGTCCCATAGTGCAATTCGACAGAACACCGACCCGCGCAGCGTTAAGCGCCGCTTTAAAAGGTCAATAGGGAGCTTAAGCAACAAGGACGACGACGGCAACAAAAATGTCATTAGGGACTTAACGATCGGACGACGCGACGGCAGCGAAAAGGTCGCTTCAAAAATGAATTTGCGTTCTTTCAGTCTTTATCGCGATTACTCCAACTCACCTACTTTGTCAAATGTAGGTGAACCCTCCCGGAGTTGAATTTTTAAGAACCACATTCAAGTTGAGAAAGAGAATAAAATTTCGTCGTCGCTTGTTTACGTCCTCTCTAAAAAGTAAAATTCGGCAATTTCACGTCGTAGTCGTGCAAAAACGGCAAAGAAATGTTCAAAAAAGCAAGATGCACGTGCAAAATTGTTGCTTTGCCTACTAAACCTATTCTTGTTTTGATGTTCTCGTTGTCGTCGCGGCGTAGGATCGCAAAGTCCCTACTTCAAAAGTGAAGTCGCGCTACCTCAAAGTTAATCGCGCTTATTCCATCTCGTTGATTTCGTCAAATGTACGCATAGTTTTTTGGAGTTGAATCCTAAAAGACTGTATCGAAGTTCAGGAAAAGGAAAAGAAAGTCATTGTTTTGTGTTCACGTCCTCCTTAAAACGTAAATCCAGAAAATGTTTCGTCGAAGTCAAGTATTAAAGACGACAAAGAAATAATGTTCGTGCAAAGTCGTTAATTTGCTTATCTTATCTTATTGATTTTTGTTCTCGTTGCAGTCGCCGTCGTCGTTACTTTAGCTTCCTAATAACTAGGCCTGCGAATACTGGAAGACAGCCGCCTCTTTAGGAGTGATGAGCAGCGGTTGCAAGTCCTGCCCTAAGGACTACACACCTTTAACGGCAGGAGATAAGTCAATTGTCGCACATGGAATTGTACTGTTCAAAGGATCGTGAAAAATTTGTATCGCTAACTGTCCATTGATGAATATCCATAACTCTTCACCGCCTGAAAAAGCCATGTTTTCCTGACCAGAAAAGTTGAACGACGTGCGAATTGCGGCAGTGAACCTAAAAAGAGAATATAAATTCAGGCTGTTTGCAGCAATTTAGTACTCTTTATGTTTTGAAACTATACGAATAGTTAAACGTTTTTAAAATAACCGTAGATATATTTTTAGGAAAACTTTGTCCGAGTTACTTCCGTTTCATTGTAAAAGAATTTTTCATTGTATTTCCAAAAAAGTTAGTGTGGAAACTTGATCAAACATCGACTGATATGTAAGTAATGTTTTGGGTAAATATTGCCATCCCTAATCTAACTTGGTCCCAAACACCAAGACACCTAGCATACAAACCGTTAAATTAAATAAACTGTCTGATTTTTTTCTCCTAACGAAACTTACTTTTCTGTGTCTTGTAAGAATTCTTCACTGGAAAGGAGCTCTTAAATGAAAGGAATCGTTTATTGGACTAAATCACATACCCATAATTCCTGAGTGCATTCGTGTAGCAGTCTCTCTGTCCTTCTGCTCCAAATCCACGGCCGTCAACAGGGAAAAACTTCTCGTTAAAATACCGAAACACTGCATTTCCATTGGAATCTGTCTCCAGTTGCTTTTTTAACTGCAATTTCCCTTCGTAAGGCATGTTTCGTAGCGACTCTGCTCTAAACCAATCAGAGAATGTATCTCCAGTTGGAACAGAAGAAATTGCAAGCCAGCTGATATAAGGACTCGCAATATAGGTCGGATGGTTGTACAATTCACGATAGTTACTTGGAATTCCCACAAAGTCACCATCAGCAGCTCTAAAAGACACAAATGTAGACTATAGTTTTCATTTTTAAGAGAATTTAACTGGAAGATCATTACCGCATTTTTTTATTTTTAGGATAATGAAAATAAGCAAGCTATGTAGGAAATCATGAGCCTGGACCTGCTTTTCAAGCCCTTAATTGATCAGTACTGACAAAAATACTTTGATCTCGCACCTGAAATCGTAATACGTCACTTCCAAGTAGTAGTTTGTCCTGTTGGTTGTGGTGTTTGTGACTGGAGCTAGTAAAAGAAAACCATATCAGGAAAATTAATGAAGCATTTCCTAAGAAATGATAAATATAAGACTATAACAAAGCATATCTGATTATGACATATGTTAAAAGCAAAAAAACAAGAGGGCTCATACCAACCTTTGCCTTCCAAAGTAGTAATGGAGGCTGTTTGGCTCTTTGGTGTTGTTCTTGTCCACAGTGATCCTAAGGGACCCCCTCCAAGGTACGTTCCGTTGTAAGCCGATACTGTCATGGTAACGTGACAAGTATAGTCGGTCCCAGCCCTCACACCATCCACTTTGGTGAAAAGTAGGAACGTTGTCGTTGAGGTACCTGATAAAGTTGGTGCATCGTCACTTAAACACGTGACCGAGTAATTCACGCTTTGAACCTAAAATTTAAAAAATACAAACAAAAGTTTGGGAGATGTTTAGGCATAAATAAGAAAATTATAATTTTAACAGTAATGTTTTTTCTTCCCCTGCGGTGTTTATCGCACAAATCGGCAAAAAAAAAATAACGACAAGGTTAACGATCCCGATCGTCAGGGGGTACAGCCTGAGAAAAACAACTGTGACCGAGAAGGCGAAGTCAGGGTGGCTGATAAACAACTCAAGCTTATGGTAAGAGCGAGTCTTAAACACATGATTACCCTACTGCAATAGGACAATTGCACGATTGATAGATTGATATTCGCAAGATTGATAGCAGCGAATAACCCAAACAACAATAATTGTACGTTTTCCTAGAGAAGGTCACATTTTTTTCGAAGATGTTATGTTTTACAGTAGTTTAAAGACTTGTAACGAATAGGTCTCGGCTTATAGCCTGGCGTTTTGGATTTATCTTTTGTTCTTGGTTATGCTGATTCTACGAGTTCGAAGTTAGGGTTTCGGCTTATAGCCAAGATCGGCTTATAGCCGAATAAATACGGCAACTTTAGGGGAGAACCATATGACCGAAAGACATAAACTTCAGCCTGCGATCAATTAAAAGCTAATAACTGGTCAGTGGAAAACTTCAAAAACACGTGACCTTGATATGGTCACGTGACTCTGGTCAGCGGATACCCTGTTTTGACAACTGTCAGTTTTCCATAATATCGATGTTTAGTTAAGGTAAAAACCGTGCAAAAACCGTATACGATCAATCTTGCTCAACGTCGGATCCAAAAAGATCGTGATCAGTCAAAATAGATCAAATTAAAAACGTTACAGTCAAGAAGACTTTGGCAGGGACTGATCAAACAACGTGAAATAGAGTTAAGTTGCGATATTTCGACTGGCCAATACCATGTATTCATCAGGTTTATTGAGATATCACGAATTTACAGAAATATATATGAAGTAAAATAATGACCGGAAATTACATAATACATAATATCGATGTCTGTCATCAAGTTAACCACAGGCTACAGGTTCCCACACTAGCTATAATGTTTGACATTTTATATTGGTTTCCCTGTGGTGTGGTCGGACGGGCGGACGTACGGTCACGTAATTACCAAAATTTCTCGGATGAACAGATTACCAAATTTTCTTAGGTACGGGGCTCAGCTCGCGAGCGCTTCACGCGCGCGTGGAGCTCCGCTATCATGTAATTTTTGTCACTTCCTTAAAAGCGCTCCGACGTTATTGGATGATGAATTTGAAGATAGATTTGTTCACCTTTACAGCGTTCCATGTACTGATTAGTGTGGTGTTCGTCGTGAAGTTGATGAACGAGTGAAGTTCGCTAGGTCTGTCCCACGTGACATTTAGCTGAAAATCACCTGGGGTCGATGCCGAGACATTGACAGGGTCTGAAATAATTTAAATTCATAATCTGTGAGCTACTTGATTTTGCGATTTGCCGAAAATTAGATTTATCGAAGGCAGTGGCTTTATGGGTTGCCATGTAGAAACAATTAAAACAGACAACTACATCAGATCACTTAAAATAAAAAGTGGGAGAAGTTAGCCTAAAGAAATAAAATGCACCGTAGAGATTACAAAACGTTCTAAGGTTCGGGAGTTGAAGAGAAGCAAAACTTAACTTTCGGCAGGCCGTTACTTTCAAAAGTTTTATTTTCAAAGAAACTGATTTGGTGTAAGTGGGTATTTGCCTAAGATTCGATTTACATCTACTTCTATTGACTTAAAATTTATTGAATATATATCTTTTCTTACTGCAGAGAAAGTTCTGGCGGTAAACCGTCTCGTAAGAGCCTCCAGGATAGAATCTAACCCCATCTACTTGTGAGGGCGTACTACAGACAGCGGCTCGGGTCTCGTGCAAAGCTTTCATTGCCGCAACGACGGAGTTGTAAACATTACAATCACAGGCCCATTGATTTCCTGCAAGATTGCTGTAAAAACAAACGACAATTAAAGAAAAAATAAAACTAAATAAAAAAATACACGAAGATCTACGTAATTTTAGAAGGCATGCCGCAATACATGCGCAAAACCGACAGTGGCTCTAAAGCCAAGCTCGATAAAGACAAAACACAAACACTTCTTACAGTAAAGAGTTTGGCCTAAAAAGCTTTACCACAGTGATTGCGCGATATATGTTTCTTAAATTCAAATATCAGCTACTTTCCTCTTTACCGACTTCATGAAACCAGAATGAGATGCAGCTCTTGAAAGGTTAAACTTTTGCTCAGGTTTCGTCGTATAAGCCATTTGTTCATTATCATTGAAGACTGACTTTTTCACTGCTGTATCATTCTCACCAACTTTTAAGCCTGACTGTGATTCTTGCTAACCGTGTTAGAATTTTTGACCTCTGTACGAAATGGTAAAACGACAGAAATAGTTCATGCAAAAAATAACTTACTCTTTTATATAAATTAAAGCAAAATATGCACTTACAGGTCTACTAAACTGGGGAGCTCATTAAAGCAGTCTTTTCCAAGATTCTCTATTCTATTCGTTTGAACCCATCTGGAGAGGAGGCAATATGGATAACGAAGCTATTAAATAGAATCCTGATACTGAGATGATATTATTACATACAAATTTATTCTTACGATTTCTGAGAATACTTACAGTGCACGAAGAAGGCCCAGTTTGGGAAAAGTTGGTAAGAACACTATTTGATTACCATACAAGTACCTGTAATAATTGAGTAAAACAAAACACATAATTACTACACTATATGCATTTCACAGAAATGGCTGATAACCTAAACAGGACACTTGAAACTGAAAGTTTCTAATTTCTAACTAGTTGAAAACGGGTTTCTAATAACCGCATTGCATAGCCAGACTTTAGTTTCTTTTACTCGATTTCACATTTTGCTCTATTTTGAGTACTCCTTTATCTCTTATTTAAATGCGACTTCGGTGTAAAAGATACGGTAAAAAAAATTTTATCCGCACTATGGCCTATTATTAACCGCTGCCTCTTTTTTGACGTGATCATTCTTTTTTTCACATGATAGAAGTGTGAGTAATCTCTTGTGAAAGATAAATTGTTAACAGTATGGGACAGTTCAGACGTTGTGCTTCTGCCCTGCTGACGTAATTCTTAAATCAAGTTCGACAAAAGCATGGTAGAAACACGACGTCTGAATCAAAGTTTTCAATTTGGTTCGGCAGGCGACTCTGGCACAGCAGTGATTCAAACGTCGCGCTTATACCGTGTGAACTAAATTCATAAATATTTCAAAAATGTGTATTTTCAAGTTCGACTCTGGTACAACGCCTCTGAATCAAAATCGTACCTCTCTCTTGCTCCTGTTGAACTCAATTGTATTATTGAGTTCGGCACGGCAGAAGCACCACCTGTGAACTGGGCCTCATTTCTTATTCATCAAATGAAGAGAGGTAAAAGTGGTTAAGAAACCCGATCCTGTTGCAACCCTATAACTATTATCACCTTTTTATATGATCAGCTACTTCAGAGAAAAGCTTAACTTTTTACTTGTCTTAGATAGAAAATTTAGCTCTATACTTACAATCCAATTAGCCTCACTAGTCCATTGAAGGCCCCGGGTTCAATAACACTGATTCTGTTGTAGTTTAGATCTCTGTCATTCGTCAAAACACGAATGAAGTAAAACAAAAAGAGCTCTTAAAGATGATGGGTCAAAGAAAGTCCCAAAATAACACCAAATAATCCAAACAAAAGGACGCAAACCACTAACAAAATTAAATAAGGGTGAAGAAAAAAATAAGAAAAGAAGAAAAGAAGACATTGCAGGCGACCAGAGGAGCCCGCAGGCCTAATCTCTAGCTTGCTATTACGCAGGCTTGGTACGTATGTAGCCAGCATTTGTTTGGATTTCCACTAAGAATGAATGGAATGCAAAGAACGCAACTGATCACGTGCGTTTGTACCTTTTATCGCTTGCAATCTGATCAAGGGCCTTTTGACCTTCTATCACGTGAAAGTCACGCAAAGCGCAGCGCTGGAGCAAGAGCGTTTTCGACTTCCGATCGACGTTTATGTTCTTTCTGTATTTTTTATATTTATTAACTTATTTCTAGGTGTTCCGAGATGTTTCGTGTTTTTGTGTTTAATTAGTAAATGAGCAAACTTACAAAGTATGAAGGAGTGTAAGCTTTCTAAATAAGTTGGCTCCTAAAAACGTAATGCGATTATTCTGAAGATACCTGAAACACAAAAATATGCCGTTTATTGGCGTGCAAAAAGAAATTCTTAAATACGTATGAATAAATAACCAGAAGAATTAATTAAAAGAAGTTGTTAAAAAATTTTAATATTATTAAACGAAACTTACAATGTCCTGAGATTCGTAAAGGAGTCTAGCCAGCCACTTGGTATTGAGGGAATTTCATTATTGCGTAATTCTCTGAAAAAAGAATTTGAACGTTAATAAAAATTTCGTAAAATCCAGTAGGTCTAACTAGGATTCATGTTAGAGTCATGGGAGCCATATATAAACGGATGAAAAACAGGCAGTACTAACAGTAAAAACCCCCGACTATAGGGACCTGCATTTCGCAAGTTAGCCTAGACCATAGTTAATTGAGTGGAATTGTTATGAAACCGTCAGACTCCTTTGTTATATGTTTTTGTGGACCTGAAAGTGCACAACGTTCAAAAGAATTCCTATCATTTTGATTGTATTGACCAATAAAAACGTTGCATTAATTTATTCCGTAACAATTTGCCAACAGAAAACAAAGGATTGTGCACTTTCAGGGTGCTTCCAACATAAACTGCAGCACTGTTGTTTTTATCATTGATGTTTACCGCTTTTCATAACCAGTCTCCTCCAATAACTATGCCTAGACAGGTTCTTACATAAATGGTAATTAGCATAAATTTAGGCTATGTAGGTTCTTAAATAGGTTCTTATTTTCTGCAGAAAAAAGTACATTGAAGCTAACAGTATTAAATGGTATATTCAGCTTATTCCTTTTATAAAATCTGCATACCATTGCATTGCACTTGGAGTGATAAAAAAAGACAACTACATCTATGTCTCCAAAGAGGATTCTGGATGTTGATTTCTATTATTTTCCCAAGTGTACAGAAGTTTTTTATTTTGACTTTAGAAAATAAGAACCTTTTTCAAATTTTAGGCTAAACCGGTTCTTTTATAGATGGAGCCTAACTGGCAAATTTTAGCGTAACAGGTTCTTAAAAACCAGGTTCCTAGTCGCGGGTTTTTACTTTATAGAATACGTAGTTATTATGTTTCATCCGTTCAGTTCGCATTTTCATCCTGGGACAGCAGAAAAGGCCATGAAGACAGGCTTTCACGAATCAGTTTTGCTTCGATCCGCCTAATAGACTCGACAAGGGCCCTCTCCGTCCACAGCCGGGCACGGTCTAAGTGATTCAACAAGCTGGCGTTTCTCCTTATCATGATTAGTTAACTATTGCTTCTTACAAGATATTTGGGTTTTGCCTTTCCAGGGCTTTGGCAGGGAATAAAACTAGTTTGTTGTCTCGAAGTTTTCTGCAAGCAAAAAGAAAGGTAGTATTGTAAATATTTCGTTCAAAACCAGAAAATTATCTATCGTATCAATTGTACGCTGAAGGCACTAATTTTGCTTATTTTGAACAAAATCTTACATCTGTCCATTAACTGTAACGCCTTTAAGTGAATCATCCTCCAGGCTTTGAATTTGATTGTTTGCAAGATCCCTAAAAGAGACATTGAAACACCAGTGGCCATTGAATCAGAGAATCGTACATGTGATACATAATATACAGCTCATGCCCATACCATCGTATTAGAAGACGAAAGCGATTTGAATACTCTTCGTGTGGACACTTAGGACTGCTTTGTCACATACTACTACAGACGACGACGACGGCGACGACGACTACTACTACTACTACTACTACTACTAATGATAATGAGTATCATCTGAAAAATTATGAGATCAAGGGGGGTGTTAACACCCTTCCGCGATCTCCACAATTCGTCAGATGATACGAAATACTGTTTTATATATATATCATTCATTCAAAATAGTTTCTAGTTTAAAAACAAGCTATAACATGCTTACCTCCGTCGATGAAAAGTTCATCTTCAATTGCCTGTTTATCGGCAAGTATATATGTTGATTTTGTTTCATTTATACTGCTGCAGTAAGCATAAATTGTCTACGATACTGAGAGCGAATGTTGCGAACATTTCTGACTCGTTTTCTTGTTAACATTTTGATTCAAAACATAATTCAAGCCTTCTGCCTATTTCATCTATACAATTATATCATTTACGATTGGATTATTACCATTATGGGAGACAGTAAGCATTATGTGCTCCCTAAAAAAATGCGTCACATTACACCCCTGCGTCCCCGTAACCGCCACCTCTCTACAACGGCCACTTTCGTCTCTCCCCAACATGGCCGTTATGGAGAAGCTCGACTGCACTTTCCTATTCTGATGTAATATTGAATATTCTACTGTGTCAGTTAAAAAGATAAAGTATGAACGTATCTCATTCTTACAGCTGTCCTCGTATTGTCGATCCACTGTCCCCAAACACCTTGACCGTGATGGCCTGGATAGCATTACCATAAAGTTTTCTGTTATGTCAAACACAACTAAAAATCACTTTAAAATTTGCGGGTTGGAGTAACGCACAATTCGTCTGCTTAAAAGCGAGAAGGAATCTTGGCCAAGCTTACGTTCGCAAAGGCTTCTGCTTCTGTTGCTGGTGACAGGGGAAAAAATAGGCAAATAGCTGGGCGTCCCCATTAACAATCCCCAAAACAATTGCGGGACACATTTCGGCTCCAGACTCCTGCTGAACTGAGTAGCGAATGGTACACTTTCTTAAAAATAATCTGCTCGTTGTATGCCCCAAATGAAAGTGTCCGAAAGAGGAGAAAAGTGTACGATGAAGATAAAACTTGACTACAATTTTTCAATTTCCACACCCTAGCCTAGCTACAGATAACTGAAAAGGTGTCAAAATGTCTGGAACTCAAGCGTAATCGAGAGCCTCAGGTGAGTAGTTTTACTGCAAAATTTTCAACATTTATAGACGTCATCTCTATAAATATGAATGCAATTTAGTATTGTCTACACTGTCATATGAATACATTCAGTGTAGACTAGAAACACTGGTGAAGTCGATTTTGACAGTAACGCTACAGTTTTGAACGGTCCAATTCCTGCTAGCTTTTCGGAATATCGCCTCCAGAAAAAAAGAGAAAAAAATGCACCGCCATAGTAGTGGTCTTTCGTTTGCCTTTGACCATCCTTCTTCTTTAGTAGCTATCGACCAGTACTGCTTAATAAATTTCATTTAGTCGGAAATTAAGAGCATTCTGCAAGGATTACACAATTCATTTTTTTGCAGGAGGTTATATCAACCATGTTTCAGTTCTACTAATACTTACAGATGCCTCGTGTTGATCCTTAGAAAAGCATTTTCCTCAATTGTTTGTATTTTGTTTTCTTGAAGCTCGCTTTAAAAAGAAGCAAACAATCAAACAATGAAGTAAACAAATAAAGACTAACCAACAAACAAACCTAACTAGGAACAAAAGGAAATGAGAAGACGATTAACGTTTGGTCTCAAACTCTGTTTTCTCGCGAAACACTTTGTCATTAGCCTACGAAAAAACTCTGCTCCTCCTCCCCCCCCCCCCCCCCCACTAAGAGCTGCAGGCGGTTCAGGCATTAATGGAATCCATATTACCGAAATAAGGAAGGAAGCTTTACTCACATATCGTTGGAAACGAAGACATCTCTGAAAGACTCTGGTGCTATCTTCGTCAGTTTCAAGTTCTTAAGGTCGCTGAGTATGTAAAGAGCAACAAGCGAATATCACCTACTCATTAAAAGCAAAACTTTGGGTATTTGTCTCACTTTCTTCATTACTTACATCTGACAGGCTTTTACATCGTCGAAGGCACCACTACCAATATTCCGCAGCAAGTTCATGTCGGTTCCTCCAAATTGCCTTGCGGAAAAAACACAAAATAAACATTTAAGGTGGCTGAACACAGTTTTGCGGGCGGTCAGCGGTAACTAGCGAGACGTCGCGTGTTTTGAACTAGACAAACAAACATGGCGGCGAAAAAAGCAATGTACACAGAAGACGATTTCTCAAAATCTACCCATTAAAATTTTGTGATGTTTAGCAGAATTTTTACTTTAGTCGTATTTTCAATAATGAGAACTTTAAAAGGGAAGTTGAACAGACTATTTTGTGGTACATTTAATAATTACAGTACAATTATATTTTTGATTATCTAACAACCCGTCTGTTAAAATTAGGTCAAATACGTTTCAAATGGTAACGATTAATTATAGTAAGCTGTGTGCAAGTTTATAAGAAAATCTAATAAATCTCGGGTCAAGGAAACGCACCATTAGTGACTTCTCTTCCGAGCAGCTGCTACGTGGCCCAATGTGGTACCTACGGGATAGCGATTTATCCAGCGGATAGCGCTAACCACCTTTCGAACAACTGGGGCCAGATTGAAAGCTGATTTTGACCACACATAGATATACACACGTTTACGGTTAGCAACACAACCGCGCCCTAAATATCCTACTCTTTACGAGCAAAGGTGTGGGTTCTTTATAGTCCGAATAACAGCAGTGAAAGAGCTGCCAGTGGTTTTCCGCCCTTTCAAGAGAAGAGCCTATTTAAGAATCTAAATAGCCTATAATTTGTGCTAATTACCATTTATGTAAGAACCTGTTTAGGCTAACTCTGGAAAATGCAGGTTCGTAGTCATGGGTTTTTACTGTACTGATGATCCTTTTGGCAATAGCCCACGTTCGACATTGAGTATTAGGGAGCTTAAGCAGCGACGTTTTTGAGCGACGCCCATCAAACGGAAGTAAGGCCTTCTACCTTGACGCTAACGAATTAGTACTGGTAAGTTTCTTTTCTCTTATAACGACGATTTACCCGAGAGTTTCAACCAAGCCACTGCCCAATGATGCAAAAAGTCCGCCTCCGGTTGACGTCCGTCGCTCAAAAACGCTGTTTCGTAAGCTCCCTATTAAAATTCTAACATGACTTCGAGGCTTTAGGGACAGAATTGCAAATTTTTCACGACTCCATTGTCTCGAAATTCCCAGAAGGGACTTGAACACAAAGAAAACCGAACCAAATATGGAAAAATGACTAGGAAGCCTCGGGGTCATGTTAGAATTTTAATATGTTGTACGTTAACGTGGGCTATTGTTCAATTGTCTCTATACTCACAGTGTACACCGATGGCCATCAAATCCCCTAAAGGCGCCTCCGTCTATTGATACTATCTCATTGTTTTCAAACTTCCTACAACAATGCAATATAAGAAAGAAAAAACCTTTTTTGTCATCAGATAGCAGGAGCCCATAACCAGGAGCGAGCAACTTCCATGCGCTCGTGTTACGGCGTTTCCACGGACCAGATTATTTTTGGAACGGTTTTGGCGCGAATTATGAATATCTTTTAAATTCTATAAACCAGTCAGAAAAAACTTTCACACCTAAAAATGATACATATTTTTTGCCTTTTAATAACGTTTAGTTTTCCTTTTTGATATCTTATACTTCGGACGCGCTCGTAGACATGGTGGAGATCCTACTTTCGCGGAAAAGAGTGCCTTACGCCGGAAATAAAAGGCATGATCAATAACTAAAACGTTTATGGAAGTTCTCTAAGGCGTATTGTGATAAAATGACTGATTAGGACCACTAAGTTTAACTACCGCCAGCTCAGGCGATATGGTCGGGAAGAGAAAATTTGGCCTTTTTTTTGGTGGCGCGCCTCGTGGCCTGTCAGCGTTATAACAATGTTTTAACCCTTTAAGCCCTAAGAGTAGTCATCAAATTTCTCCTTGTAATATTAATGCTTTACAAATCAAACTGGTGATGAGAATAAAGCACATGATCACACAAGATGAAGCTAACTGATATTATAACATAGCGCGCGTGCTTGCCCTTTTGAAGTCCTATTGAGCCGCTATGAACAAAATCTTTATTTACGCACGCCCGTGCGTAAATAAGATGACGTGAGCATTTTTTTTTACCTGGCTGCAAAGTTGTCGTCTGTGAAGCTGCAGTGCAGTTTTCCTTCTCTTTAAAATATGGAAGAAACCAACGCAGAACTGCCCAATTTTTCTATCGGCATTGACCATTTAGGTCCTGGTCCAACAAGAAGCAAAATTAAAACCGAATTAAAAAAAACTCGCAAGTTGCGCGTTTCGCAAATTTGTCGGAAGACCAGCTGCAGCGAATTTTGGCCGAAAGACATTCACTGGGAACAGAACAGACACCAACTGGTCATCAACAACATTTAAAGGTAAAATTTCCGTTTTTATTGTTGTTTTCAAATGTGTTATGCACTTTGTTATCTCCGGACAATCCGACTGAAGCAGGAAAATTTCTCTCGCAATAACAACACAAATTACACAAGAAGATATAAATTTATTACTCACAAAAACAACTGCTGCCAGGTCTTCTCAAGAAGCCGTAATGATCAGCCAATGTTCGCAAATGAATATAAGTTTAAAGAAGGATGACAGTCGTCTTCGCTAAAAACATGTTCAGTTTCTGGATTTCGCCGAGCAAAACGTAAACATCTTTTCAGCAAATCCAAACCATACTCTACATACTTCTTACGAACATGTTAGTACTTTAACTTTAGGTGAACTTTAAGACTCTTTTACCATTGTTTCTGTTTAGTTTCCATTGATCGTTAACGAATAAAGAGGCAAACTTTCTTTCTCAGTTTTACAGAAAGAATATTTTCATTTAAACTTGACGATTGTGGCGTGTTCGTAATCAGCCAATAGAACCGTTTGTTATTGTGTAGCGCGTTACGAGAATTTTGCAGTTAATCAAAAAGCAAGCATTTTTGTGAGCTATGTTATAAAAGAATTTGCTCATGCTTTTAGCTGTGCGTATATCGAGTTATGGATGCACTTGGGAAGTTTGGAGAGCACTCAAGAAGCTAGAGTTGCACTCGGCTATCGCCTCGTGCAACTCTTTACGCATCTTTCGTGCTCTCCAAACTTCCCGCGTGCATCCATAACTCGATATACGCACGCTAAGCATGAACAAATTCTTAACTTCAATGAATTCTCCCCTCTACTTCTATAGGAAATGTATGGGGACAACAAATGAGAATCTGAATTTAGATATTAGGGTTTAAAAGGTAATTGAAAAAGAGGCTTTAATTTCAAACTAAGAGAAATAAATGTATTGAATACTATGCACTTACCATATTGTCCCTTTATCGTAAGGCCCGCATCCACCCGAGACACACCTCACATTGACAAAAGTTCCATTGGCAATCGATGTTAATCTGTTATTCGAAAAGTTTCTGACAGAAAAAAACATTAAAATTGCTATTTTGACACGGCCTAGAAAACATTTATAGCAAGTTATATAAACAGATGTTGTTGTTGTTGTTTTTTTTTTATCTAAGGAAATTTTAGCAGAATTTACTTGGTTACAAGTATGACCTGAAATACATCTTACTCACATGGTATTCATTTGCTTGTTTCTGAAATCGCCACCGTTCGGTAGAGACGTAAGCTGGTTGTATTGCAGTTTCCTAATTGCATAACAAACAAGCTGGTATTAGCCGCAAATTGAGCATTATTGGAGACCCAAACTGGGTATTAACGATCAAAAACAAGCGAAATCTTAGCAGGGAAAACTTACTTAACAGGGTTCGTATTCTTTTGAGCTCTTCAAAATCAATGATGACGTCCCACGATTTTTTCCATGAAATTTACCAATTTTTCCATGCCCTTAGGTCTAGCGGTCGCTTACAAAAGTTCCCAAATGATCCTTGTTTTTGTCCCATAAATCTCTTAATTTTTTTTTAAAAGTATAATTCTAGATAGCAACATGGAGTTTGTTGTTGGTTCACCTCTGTGCTTCAAGAGAAATTTCTCTGAGTTATGCGGTTTTTCCCTCTCCTCAAAACTAAAACATTTCAAATTGCTATTCGATTAGGAGTATATAACAAGATCATTATCTATTTGTTTATTTATTGATTTATTAACTGATTAGTTTGTTTATTATGATTGTAAAGGGCATATATTTACTCATAATGAAAATTCAGGGCACTTACAAATTACCAAAACGTTGAACTCCGGCAAACGTTCCATCTTCAATAAACGCAATCTCATTGTTATCTAAATTTCTGTAATACAGTATAAATGAACATGCTAAAAAATGGGTCGCCTTGAATTGTCAATGCCAAGGCAGAAAATTGTGAACCATAACCAAATGACTAACTAACAAAAATTGCTATGCTTTTTAATTTGTACTCATTTTTTTTAGAGCGATTTGTGTTTGATCTTGAAATAATTACGCCGAAGAATCAATGCGCTGGGCTATTGAGTGGTTCAGGGAAATCACTGACACATTGTCTGCTGTACAACTTGGGACAGCAGAAACTGGGCTGCCGCTTTTTTCCATCTAATGGTTTACATTGGCTTCAATACGACGACTTCATGTTTTGATCTATTGAAACAGGCACTAGGACATTTTTGCTTTAGGTCAATTCTGTGTTGAAGACATTACTTCGTGCTTTTACCCATCAAAAAATGCTCAGTTAGAAAGATGAAAAGGATATCAGACATATTCATCAGGGAGCACTAACCATATAATATAATTTTTTTTTTCTGTAGGTATAGCATAAAAACTTAAAAAAGTTAAAAACAACTTTTTCAAGTTTCAATCCGTGTCCATCCTTACCAACCGTTGCCACAGATGACAGGAAACAGGTTTACTGTCTTGATGTAGTTTTAAATAACTTAATTGGCCGTTTCTTTTTTTGAAATTCGATTACCACGAAGAGAAGTTTTAGGTTTTTAAAACGGTAACAAATAGTGTCACGTAAAGCTAAGAACGAACACTTGCGGAAGCCATTTATTATTCCGTCCCTCTATTTTGGCTCTTGGAATTAGCCTAACATAGTCTCACTAAATTTAGGAGAGTAATAAACTCAGAACCAAGAACTGAGAATTGAAATGCAAAGGTCAAAAGGTTCTTTTGAGTTGTAAGTGAAACAAATAAAGGTGATTGAACCGCAGAGAAGCTTCCTGAGAACTTACAGTGTTGCCACGTTAGCAAGGTCAAGAAAGGAAATCTTCAGTATTCGCCCAATCTTGTTTTCACCAAGGTCACTGCGAAAGGTAAATGGTGTAAAGAAAATTAAATTCCAGTATAATGAAAAAACTTTTGTCTCAAAATTTGTTGTTTGCCCTCATCCAAATTTTTTCATAACCTAACCATAACTTAGAAATTGCTTACGCACAAGTAGTTAGGGAACAAGGTGTATTATGGGAGATGTATAAAAGACGAATTTGCGACCATTTAGACTCTAAAGATGATGACCGCGTAGGTTAAACACTGTCAACAACAGTCCTATTAGCAGTCATCTGGACTATGCTCACTTCGTTATAATGAGCTTCCATCATTACAATACACTTTAATTTTTTCGGCGAAATACTTACAGCCATGATAAGCTTATAAGTCCATGGAAGGCTGTATCAGGAATAGTTCGTATCTGATTTCTCCTTAAACCTCTAAAAGGGAACGATGTGTTGCGTCAAAGGAACGACAAATAATACCGCACAATTAATTAAGATGGCGCATCGATAAGCCTCAATATATAATACCTTAAATGACTCTCAAGTGCGCTAAGCAAAATGTGCTTCTTCCAATATTCGTGCTAGTATAGTAAGACCCCGTTTACATGGATCCCGACAAAATTTGTTGAACGATCGAATTTTACCCGTGCAAACTGTGTTACACTACTGTTTTCACGAGCCCGTACAAATTTTTGCTAGTGTCAGCATCGGAATGGCTTTGTTTTTATCAAAGGCGCATGACAAGGCTCCAGACTCTCACCGCGCAAAATGTGCAAAAACGCGCACGGTTCAGGTGTTTACACGAGTCCGCGTAAAAGTGGAACCGTGCCGATAAAAAAAAAAATGACCTACTTCTGATCGGGTCAAAACCTTGTCCGGTTCCCGTGTCCCGTGTAAACGAAAGGCGGATCCGTGCAAGTTTTTGTTCTTTTAAAAGTTGCCCGGGCCCGAGTTAACAGGGTTAAATCAATACAACCACCTGATGGAGACCAGCACTACACGTTTGTAAGACAGACGATATATGACCCTGTCGTACACATACCACATTGCAAAACAACTTTTTAATCTTAAAATGTGATTCTTGTTACTTACAGCTGTGTTAACTTAGTCAAGTTCGTGAACTGATTCTCGTGCTTAAAGGTGAATCGATTTCCCTCCATGTGGCTGAAACAAGATCAACGTGAACGAGGTGAAAGTCTTTTCGTAAATTTTAGTTCATTTTATTTTTGTCATTTTCAAAATAAATTCAGAACAATTTTGAATGGACATCTTTAACACAGTGAGTCATCAAGCGAAGGGGTTACTTTCTATTTACCACCGTGAAAAGTACTTCAAGTGTTTTTATAATGATAAATTTTATCAACCCAGTTTCACTGTATAACTTAAGATATATCAAGCTTTAATTATAACAAAATTCTCAAATCTGATTGGCTATCAACTATTCTAATTTCAGTAGAATGGGACAGTACATGTCATACCAAAGTAAAAGGGAGCTTTGTAGCAACGATGACGACGATGGCAACGAGAACGTGAAAAAAAGCATTAGCATCAGTCCTTTTTTTGGGTACATTACCTTGCCGTCCCTGGCAACCCGGAAGTAAAATTTCCTTATGCGGTGTTTTGTGGAGGACGAACAGACACTCGCAAACAGGAATCTTTCTTTCTTTTTCTAAACTCGTATGCGGACCCAAGAATTCAACTCCAGGAAAATTCACCAACACTTAGCACTTTAAGCGGGTTCGACTCAGACGTTTTCGCTGCCGTCGCCGTCGTCCGGAACGTAATACTGAATTTACGCAACAGGACAGGAAAGGAAAGAAGACGGCAAACCTTGTGTGACAAACGTGAAAATAATTGCGCTCCGCCAAACTTAACCCTCCTTTTAACAGGTCCTTTGTAAAAGACTAGAGACATTAATATTAAGTGAAGATCACAACAAAACACGCAGGCAAAATTCCTGTCACGTTTGTCACAGACACAAACACAAGCTTTTTGCCGTCCTCTTCATTCTACCGGCGCAAGCTCGCTAATAAGACAGTGGTACTTGTTACTGGGTCTTGTTTCACGTCTAACAAAATACCTCGTGAAGTCTTGCGTTATCTCACAGAAATGTCTTTCTCAAATTTTGTTTTAATTTTGATTAATCGTTAACAAAACTTCGTGTTGTCATAGTCATTACCTAACTCGTATCTAATCACTCGTTTGATTGCAAACCGAATTGAATCAACTCGACTCCGCTCAGTACTGTTACCATTCTATATTATTAACTTTATATTTTTTGACGACTTACATGTGCTCTATATTTTCATGAAAGGCACCATTTTCTATTGTCACAATTTTGTTGTATGGCATATGACTGCAAAGAAACACAAATGTCGTTCATTTTTAGAAAAATTTAAGAGAACACATAAATGGCTTCAGAAAAGCAAACTTATCCAACAGAGACCCATGTACTTACAGGTATCTTAACTTGTCCAGCTCAGAAAACGTTCCCCTAAGAATGTAAGTGAAGCTATTGCCCCTCACGTCTCTACAAAAGTGGAGAGAAGTAACACGGTTTTTCTAAGATTTATGAGAAAACGAACCTGCAATAATCGATTAAAGAAAATCAGCCTTGGAGATTCGATGTTATTGGTGAAATCGATACACATTTTGAGACTGCTGAAAAGCCGCGCTGTAACAAGCTTCTGTTACTGGGAAATATGGCCCAAAGTAACCAGTAGAAGATTTGAAGGTTAATTTGAAGGTTTAAAATGTCATGCTGCCACCTCAGAGGTATCAAGGGAAACATCAGAGTTTTTAAAAAATTTCGTCATTCAGTGCCATCCTACAACAAAGACCGTTGAGACATCTTGGAGTTCCTTATTGTACATTTTTCTTTGTCTACAGCCTCCATTAAATGGGCACGTTTCCAAAACACGAGTGATTTACTTTGCGAAGCTGGAGACAGGGGTGGGGTAGTGGTGTGGGAATCGAGGACATGTACCAATAAATTAACTGAGGTTGAAACCAGTTGGGACAAACATCGTTCTGCTATTTGGGTGAAGGCCCTTCGACTCCTCTGCTAGCCTGGGACCAGACTCCATAGTGAGGGAAACGTGAAAAAAAAAACAAAAAAAAAAAACAGAAGTAAACAAATAAATAAAATGACAATCAAAAAAACGGCAAGCAAAGTTTTTCGCTTTAGTTTTTCACCCATTGAGGACCCTGATCCTAGGCTACTCCTCTACAATTTGTTTTTGGAGGCATTGTGTTCTCAAATAAACGAGAGATTTTCAACTAGGTGAAGTAACTGATGACAAGGAGAATCTAGGAGAAGTATCGTCCTTACAATGTGCTCACTGATGGAATTCTGCTTTTTCCTTGAAGTGCAATGGGAACATAATGAAATTTGTTCCAGTCAAGATGCCTGCAACGGTCAATTATCAAATGTTATAAGCTACAATTTTCAACCATAACTGAGCACCAAAGGGCTGTAGAAAAACCTGTTTTCACTAAATGTAAATGAGAATGATATGGAACCATCATCTTTCATTTTATTGAGCATAGGCCTGCCGAGTTGGTATAAGCACCAACTTGACTTAGGACCTATACGAGATACCTCCCTACCTAATTCCGGCCACAACCTATGAAAATTAGATACTAGGGATTCTCGCTGGAAAAGATCTTTTAACGTTTTCGTTGGAACTTTTTATTACGACCCACAGCATCAAATATTTGCAAATTGGTATACTATAATTGTTATTATTGTTGCTGTGAGGCGGGCTATTATTTCGTCCTTATCTAAAAAGACTACAATATCAGCCCTCAGCGTTGGTTCAGCAGGTAGGAATCGAGCCCTGAACTACCCAGCAAGGTCTGAATAAAACAAAACAAAACAAACCCTTTCTGGTTCAAAGAACTCCATCTATTGGAAATTAGAGAAGATTTGGCAAAACACCTTATCATCGGTAGACGATGGGTCTTCCAATGTATACAATGAATGGTTGCAAAGGTTATTATAAGAAATGACACGCCGTTTGATACAACTTTCATTTACTTACAGCTTTGAAAGCTTTGTCAGATTCCGGAATGTCTCTGCGTGGACAGAGGAATTCTGGAGTTTGTTTGCACTGAGAAATCTGAAAGGTAACAGAAGCATTTTTGGTGACTTGGTATGTTTAGCAATTATTGGAAGAGGCTAAGTAGGATGTGAAGAATTATGCAAGATCGAAGGCCGTGGTGGATAGCAGCCTCCGAGATTTGCATAATTCTTCACATCGCACGACAGCCGAATTCAATAATTGTTTTATCATTCATTCAAATTGTTTCTGGTTACCTCCTCGTAGACTTTTTCCATCGAGCAATATGTTTTATATATCCTTACATTTAATATTTTTCCCCAGTTTATTTATTAAGTCAGAAATTCAGCTTTTTCGTCTTTGGATATGGCCCAAGCCGTATCGTTTCCAAACACATATACCATCGAATCGATGGTATATTCCTCGCATCTTCCATATATGGTAAGCGCCAGTTGGTTATGAAGAATTAAAAGCCAATCAGAGAACTTTTAAATGAATAATAATCCTCCTTAAAAATAAATGGAAATTGAACGTTAACTTACAACTCCTTTAGATTGCTTAACATCCAAAGATCTTCCTCTCCCATTCCCTTGATTCGATTTGAATGCAGGAATCTATCATAAAATATTTCAGATAAAACTAGTTTGGGAAAATATGCAAACATCAAATTCAGTGCAAAAGAACCAGCTAAAAGAGCTTATGAGACGCACTATACTGCAACACTCACAGTTTCTCGAGGTTTCTCGTCTTTTCGAATGGTTTGTAGTTCTTTTTTAATTCACTAAAAGAAATTGTATTAACATGTTTCATATACTCATTTTTTGAATGACAGTCTGGCCTCTAAGAAAACAATAAGAATAAGGAGGAAAATGAAATATAAATATCTGAAAACATAACTTACCCATGGAGATTTTCTAGGTCCGGTGGAAAGTCGCCCTTATCATAACTCATCAGCGATTCAATTTCATTGTTTTCGATATGCCTGTGAGAAATACCATGACACAACATTGTCCCGTAGTAAAAGCCACTTTTGAAGGAGAAACATTAGTTTTTGCTAATGATGCTAACCAATCATTTAATTCAAGAGTCATAGTTAAACATATAGCCTCCGAGCAAGCTTTCCGGGGCGCTCTGGCGGTGGGGCGGGAAAGGAAGGAGACCTTGCAAAACTACTTCTCTGGAATTTGAATATTTGCATCGGGAAAATCGATGCGAAATGCTGATTGGCGAAGATGACATTACTAACGTCATTACCTTTGGCACGTGTTTTTCAATGTTTGTTTACATTCGCACTCGTTACTGTTTCGCGCCGATTGGCGGAAATCTGACAACTCAGTAGACGGGGAGCCATAGGGGAATTGGAGGTTGAATTGAAATTCCAAAGTAGTTACAAGCTCTTCTTCCTTTTCCCGCCCCCTCTTCTAGAGTGCCTCGGAGAGCTAGCTCGCAAGCTATTAAGGTTACCGAGGATTTCAGTGAAGCACTTACAGGAATTTTAAAGCAGGCCTCTCCTCATAGGACAACGATGGATGTGGGAAAGTCCTCAATCCGTTATTGTTCAACCACCTGTAAGATATAAATGTTTACTTTCAATCTTTTGACTGGCAATAAAACAGACAATGTCTTCTAAATTGGGCCGGCTGCGAATTCTCTTTTCGACTTATTAGCAAAGTGTTTAACCTTCGGAAAACGCCGCTTCTCAAACTGACAAGATTTGGATGTCGCTTACGAGTCTGTTACGAAAGGTGCCAACCTTATTGTTTCAATCTTATTGTTTGAAAAATTTAGGTAAGGTAATTTAAAGTGTGGAGGTTGAACCAACACCATGACGTAATCCATCTACAAGAGTACAGTAAAACGGTGTTTTCAAAAACCTCCACTCTGGAGAGCGTCATTGAAAAGATGCGTTTTTCGGGGACCGTTTTCACCGGATCACCCGTGCACGTGTGGACAGTAGGCCAACTCGGAGAAAAAAATTTTCCGTTTTCAAACTACAACAACAACAACAACAACAAAAGGGGCCAAAGCTTGGAGAGATATTAGTACTTACAAATCTTCTAAAAGTGGAATTCTGACAAACGAGTTGAACATCACGTGGCGAGTTTTTGTTTTTTGTAACATAAGTACCCTGCAAGATAAAACAAAGGTAAGATTTGCCATTTACCTATATCCCGTCTCGTGAACAAAAGAAAGGTACTTACAAGAGACCAGGAAAGTGGTTCCTGTTCTATTGCATAATTACACACAGATCGAGCTAAAATTTTGAGAGGCTGTGTATAATGGTCACTAGTTCTGTATTAAAGTCAGACGCAGTTCCTGTTCAACATAGCCCATCGTAAAAAGAATGTCTGTTCTAAATTGAATACAATTGAATATAATTGGCTAATTCAGTTAAAAACATCAGTGGATTGTTCACATACGTCGAAAAATCCTTCCTGTGTAGAGTGTAGGAATATGAAACTTACAAGCACTTTAGTTTGGGAAGGTCTTGAAACGCAGGACTGTATCCTTCTGCTGTGATGTTTTCTAGCTTGTTGCCAATAAGATCTCTGGAAAAAGAAATCAAGAGAAAAAGAGCTGTTAGTCCTTGTGAGGATGATTCTGAAATTGATTTTGCGCTGATTGTCCAAACGTCAATCGTTGTCAAACAGGAAGCAATCTCCTCGCTCTTTTTTTAATAAATGAATATACTTGTCCTTACTCAATGTAATAATAATGTTTACGCGGTCCGAAAACCTCGATCAAAGCTTTGATCACCGGCCAAATGCCCCGGGAAAAGGACTAGAAACAACAACGACAACAAGGTTTACTGACTTGGACCGTTTGGTTTCGTAAATGGAAACCACATTCTTTGTAGGTGGCAAGAGTAGAGCACCAGTGAATTGGCCCAACAAAACGCCAGGAATACGTAAAATACTCAGAATACAAACTAGGCATGAATTCTTACTTGACATCGAATACGTTTTAATAACTTGCAACTTGTTCAATTTTTTGCGGCCAACAGCTCTGGCACGATGTTCGATGTGTGTCAAAGACTTGGTCCAGTTATGTTTATACTGTATCGGATAGGTTTTGGTGTCAGCATGAAAAGCTATAAGGTGATGGGGTGAACATTGCTTAACTTTGACTTTATATTTCTTTATACAAGCACACTGCACATGGAAAAGCATAGTTATCATTATTATAAGCATCATGGAACTAAACTCACAAATGAAGCAACTCAGGTATATTGTAGAAAACCTTGGCGCCTATCAGCTCTATTTCATTGTCATGTAACTCCCTTTGAAAAGAAAAAGAACAATAAAAACCTTGAAATAAAGAATTTACATGCAGAGAAGATCAGTCACAGTTCAATACGCATCTTCTGCAGTTCAAAAATTTAGGCTTCCTGGTATTGGAACCCTGACCTCTGCGATACCGCTTCAGCGCTATAATCAGTTTAGTTTTAGCAAGCCAACTGGGAGCTGGCAACAAAGATATCGAGCATAATGAAAAACAATATCGAGCATGGTAAAAACAAAATACCGGAACACGGGCTACTATTACACCATTAATCGGGGGGACTGATTACAATTTCTATTTTACACACACACAAATATATACACACTCCGATTATATAGACATACACGAAGTGGTACTTACAAGACTTGTAAGTGAATTAAATGCTGAAATGCTTCTGAGGCTATGCTGTGAATTTTGTTGTTGCTCAAGTTTCTGCAATCATTATAATAAAGACAATAGTAAGAGCAATCTTATAATTGTTAGGAATGGTAACGTAGGCAGAGTGTACGTTCGAGTCGAGAGGTCGATTGGGCCAGAGGGGAGAGGAAATAGACAGGGTGGCTAGTTTATCACAGGTTGCCCACAGCCGTGGAGTGAGAGTGTGTGAAAGAGCGTTTTGCCCAGTTACCTACCCTGGAAGGACTCGCTATCCTGACATGTCGATCCGAAATTCAGCGCATCAACAATTAGGGCAGTGCGCCTCTAATGAATTCCCCACTCCGGAAACTGTAAAGGGAATGGGTTTTCGGCGAACCGATTTCTAGTTTCGTTTGGATGGAAAAGCCTTAGTTATGATTGGTTAATAGTTTCTTGAATACAATTGACCAATCATGACTACCACTTGTCCACCCAAACGATCCCAGAGATCGCTGCACCAGTGGGGAATTGTTAGACGAAAAATTAGGAAATAAAATTTTAAGCAGTACTTACAGATGCAAAAGTTGAGAGTCGTTGCCAAAAAATGGTTTCAAGTTCGGAAAAGTGATTGATTCTATTTTATTATAGTCGACGGATCTAAAAACACAGGAAAAAAGATGGTTATGACGCAAGAATTTCATTGGACAATCCCAGCATTAGTACATCCCCGATTACTGCCAGTGAATTACTGCTATTATCACTGAATTGTTATTAAAGCATAATATTCTAAATGCTTTTCTAGCCATTCCAGAATACCTAAATTTTATAATCTTTCTGATGTAGTATGCCCCCAGACCTCTTAGTATGCAACCCTTTCGGGTTTGGATTATCCCCCATCCTTGCCTCTGAAACCTGCATTGCGGCCCCTGTGCACTACGTATACTGCTCCAACACGAAGTTTCATCAACTAATTTGATAAGTAATTTTGCCACCACAGAGAAATTGAAAAGCTAACGTTTCGAGCCCAAGCCCTCCACCATTGAGAGGTGCTCGAACCTTCAGCCCCTCCGCCTTACGGTGACCAAATAATTTTCAACTTAGCTAATATAACAACATTTTTGTGTTTTACTCCCTAACAGAAGGAACACAAAATTTTATATGGAAGTTGACTCCCATATATGCCCTTGCAAATTCTTCATATTGATCTCCATATATTTTGTTAAAAATTTAATTGAGGGAGTCTGACAATAGATTAAAGCATATTTCCTTTGCTCATTTTCAAAATCTCATAAACTCTCCTTTGAAAATATATTGATAACGTTGGGAAAGTTGACGTTGGCCACTCTTGGGGACTAAAACGGTTTAAGTGATTTGCTTTTACATTTTAAGATGATCACACAAGAATAGCCTTCATACTTACAAGTACGTCAAGGATTTGCAGTTGATAAAAGCTGACCCAGGGAACGTTTTTAACTTGTTCATGCTCAAAGCTCTGATTAAAAAGCAAGGTAACTCCATTAGAAAAACTCTAAAAACATCATTGTAACCAACTAAATTTCATTATAATAAACTAGGACTTTTGTCAGTTAATGGCGACAAAGTTGTTGCAACACGCAAACCTAATTAATAATGATAATGATAAAAAAGTAATAATAATACCAATACTGATAATAATAGTAGTAGAAACTAAAAATAATAAAAATTTCTTACATGTACTTTAGATTCGGCAGATCAAACCACTTATCAGGAATCCATTCCAACTCATTGTCGATGAGAATTCTGAAAAAGAAGCAAACTATAACTGTCCAATATGGCCTAGAAACGGCTTCCTAGTATCCAAGACCTTGAAGTCAGTTCTCGACCCTATCAACTTTTAATCTACGCTTCAAGCAGCGATTGTTTTTTTCGATTGACATTGAAATAAAAGAGGAGCAATGATAATCTTCCAACCATTTTCACATACATCAATGTGCAATCAAAGAAAAGGAACGGAAGCCTTGCAAACTGACGTGAACAACATTTTATACGTCTTACTATCTAAAATGGGGTATTGGTATACCTTTACCCGTTATACCTTCAACGTTATCACTCTGCGAATGAATAGCATTGATTTGAGAGGCGCCCCTTGAACGGGCCTCAGCACCAGACAGGTTTGAAGGGGAATTTTTCTGTTAAATATTAGGTTTCCTACAATAAATGCACAGTAAGTCATCAGCAACCTGCCTCTCGCGGACTTACATTTTAACAAGATTCTTTGGTAAAGCTGTGTAGTTGTGACGCCATAGCTTAATCTTGTTGTTGTACAGATCTCTGAAAAAGAGTAATAATAACCAGCAGTTGAAGGGTTTCATAGAGCTTCAGCAGATAACACCATGACTAATCTTAAATTTTCTTGGCTAAACGTTGCAGTTAGTTGTTTAATTTTAGGGAGCTTAAGCAGCCAGGACGGCAACGGCAGCGAAAATGTACGTCACCTGAAAAGCGAATTCACGCTGTTTCAAACTTATTTACTCTTGTTCCATTTCATATAATTTGTTTAATGTCGAGGAATTTTTATGGAGTTTAGTAATCACGTCATACGAAAAACTAGGAAGTTTCTCGTCGTAGTCGTGTAACAACGGCAAAGAAATGTACAAAAAAGCGTAATGCCGTTCTCAATGCCGTCGCCTTCGTAAGGTTCCTCATGTACTTAGAGCTACGGCTTTAAGCTTACAGTTCTTGCAGAGCTGTATTTGTGGACAGGTCAGGAAAGTCATTCAGTTCATTCATGGCAAGATTTCTATTAAAGAAAATGGTAAAAAGACAAAAACTCAGTGATTTAAAGTAGCCATAATACGATGACTTTGCTGCGTTTACATCAATATCCTATAATGTTTTTCGTTATCATTATCAAAACGACTGTGCTTAAAAAGGTAAATGACAAAGACGATGAATCGATTGAAGACTGTTCATTTTCGTCCACTCATGATTTATAACCGCTTACACTGTTTTTGCTTAATTTTCAGCAAAAACACCGAAGGTAAAAAAAAAAAATTGTATTAAAAAGGTCAAATCCCCACATGCTTTCATTTGTTGATTTAACATTCATAAAATGTTTAATATTTCAGAAGGAACACTTACATTTTTTGTAATTGCGTCAAGTTGTGAAAAGCTTCCTCTTCGATGTCTCTAAGTTGTGACTTGAAAATCTTACTGCCACAAAAAAGTTAGAATACGTTTCGAATTACAGTTTCAATTCACATCGATATAAACAGCAAATGGTTCGTTAGGACAAAAGATAGTATTTGTCACCTCGAGAGTTCGCCAATAAATTATAATGTATCTGAAGTATAGTCAAGATCAGTTGTTGATGACTACACTGTCTTTTGCGTGAATTCAGAATCGATCGGACAAGATCTTCCATCCCTCCCTCCGTCCCGGTTCGTATATCTATCCATTTCTGCCTTAAATCGTTTGTCCTTTATTCATCCGATTCTTTGATTCACTCCCTCTCCTAGCACCTTTATTCTGACTTAGCTATTTTTCCTCTCTTTATTCGTTCCTCCTATAGTAAGCCATGTATAGTCCATGGAAAAAAAAAAAAAAAATCGGCCACAAGTTAAAAATCAGTTCTTACATCTGCGTTAAACTCTTGGGCAGCTGTCCACTTCTAACAATCTTGATCACTTTATTCCTTACTTCCCTGTAAGAAAACAAAACCTAATTTGAGTTACTAGCGTATTAGCCACATAGTACATAGTTATCTACAGTAATTCTTTATTCTAATTGGCCAGCATTGAGAACTGATATGAAAGCTCTCGTCCAGAGCATTGGTCCTTCGTCATGTCATTGTTCTTTGTAGCGAAGCTCTCACGCGCTCTAAGCGCGCGCAGCGGAGTACCATGAGCAACAAAATGTGGTAAACTATTTGGTAATGACGTAACCTACGCCCGCCCGCCCACCCGTACACACACCTCATGTAACCCGATGTCAAATGCCGCAATAGATCTTGCACAACTTCACTAACCTTTCAGCTATGTAAGCCATCCGTATGAGTACTATTAGATTGACAGCTGTCAAAATCAGACATCCGCTGACAATTATCACATGACCATCTCGCGGACTCAGATGAAAGACCAGTCGTTTTGCCCCTACATATTAGCTGATATAATATGTCACCCTTACCAATTCAGCACATAAAAGAAACTACGCCTGGCAGGGCTGTCAGTCGGCTGACAGTCGTTTAAAGTTATATTGGCAAGCCAAATTAAGGTCAATTGACAGCTGTCAAAATGGGACATGTGCAGACCACTATCAGAAAACTAATAACGTGGGCTCAGGTTCGCTCAGGTACACGATCTGGCATTTTCCACTACAAGCCGGACGGATATGTCTTATTCACACTCGTAGTCTGTTAATTCGAATAATTCTAATGAAGGTTAATTGACAGCTGTCAAACTAGAGTATACGCTGACCATCATCACCTGATTGTATCGCGAGCTCATTTTTCTATCCATTGAGGTCAAGTAGTTTTTAAAGTTTTCTGCTGATATTTTATTTGATCACGGGCTCAATTCGAAGCCCCACAGCGTAGAAATCTATCCATGCTAGAAAATTGGGCAATCACGTGAGCGTACACCGACCACCCGACCTTCCGTCCGTCCGCACCACAGGCACCAATGTTTAATCTCACACTTTCTGGCTAGTTTGGGAGCCTGCAACCTGATATTGTACATCCATGTTTTGATTAATTAACAGCTGTCAAAATAGTGTTTCTGCTGACCAGTATCGCCTGACCGTATCGCGGGCTCAGGTATCGACCCAATGAGTCCGAGTGTTTTTTGAAGTTATCCGCTGACAAGTTGCTACTTTTCAAATGATCGCAGGCTCAAATTCAATTTTTTAAAATGCATATGAAATAAGTCGTGTTCATAAGCCGCACTTTTAAAAGTTTGATTTCGAACTGACCTCGGACGCGAAAATTCAACCGGCTTTTACATGCAGGGAAGGCAATCGCTTTTGACTTTTCTCACTGTCACGCGTTGATCACGCTCTACGTCCAATTTTTATGTTCTGACTGGTCAAAATTTGACAGGTGAGTTCATGCGGAAAATTTATGCAGCGTCTGGAAACTTGCTTACTGATAACTGAAGATGACAGAGTTTTGTGCCATCTTGTAATGTTTTAAACTGTCTTTTTCTACTTGATGTACAAAATAAAATACAGCTGCTATCAAGATTGTTCTGTTATTCATGGCTGGTTTGTTTATTGCGCTTTTTGTTGACAAACCCACCGCTTATAAAAGTCATTGGACATCCGATTTCGGATGGCATCGTTTTCAAGCATGAGCTTACTCACTTGCCCTTGCTTGAGGCGTAAGAGGGTTGAAAAGTCTCAAGCGATTCTGGAACACTTGATGACCTTCAGAAGCAGCATCTCGACTGGTAAGCCTGAGCAATTATTGTCTTTGATGTGTTTTTTTTTTTCGGTTTCCTGAAGTCGAGTGTATGGTTTATGTGGCTTAAGTTTATAAACGAGCAATGATCTAGCCTACAATAGTATCAGGTTTAAAAAGCCATTAGACATTTTTTGACCGCAAATTCAAAGAGAAGGTTCCGAAGAATATTTAGTTATGATTTTCGCTGTAAACAGAAAGCTCTGAGGACCTCTGAGCGATTTTCTTGCCTCGAGTTCATCTTGAAAAAGAGCAAACAGCGGGAAGCCGGCTTAAAACATAAATAAGCTTAAATGCTTACCTGACTCATGATTTTCAGAGACGCTTTACTCTCAATACTTGTCTTCGTGTATGAAAACTATTGTCTCTGTACATGTTTCACCGAATTATATCTATTTTATTGATTGTTAGTAGTCCCTCTCGAAAAATATCTATCGCTGCACCAGTTGTTTCCAGTCGAACATAAACATCGCATGCAGGAATACTCAAAACGCAGGGCATAAATATCACTCGCTTTTACTGCGCTTTTCACAAACATGCGAATTCTGAAACTCAAAAGCCAACTGACGATTGCATGCGTTTTTTGCTGCTGTCAATCATCTTAACGGACCTCTTTAATAGGAAACAAACTTTACTTTGACGGGTTCAAAAGGTCACGGTTTGTGATTTGTGATTGGTGGATTTCGATCCGTTTTGTGTGTTTCTGTGTTTCAAGGTTCGTTGCTTGTGATCGTAATTATGATTGACGGCAGCGAAAAATGCAATTGTGAAGGCGGCTTTTGAACTTTGGAGTTCGCATGTTTGTGAAAAGCGCAGTAATCGCACTGCAAATTTGCTGCCCGTCAAAAGTGACAACCCGTCCGGCTGGCCGAAAAGGTGATTTTGGGAATTTTTTTATCGCTTTCACTAAAAGCCCATAATTAGGGAACTTAAGAACGACGACGACGACTTTGTCGACGACGACCGGAGTGAGTTGCCGTGTACTGCGCAAGTGCGATCGGTAAATTTCGTCGTCGTGGTGTCGTCGACGACGGCAAACAAAGTAGAATCACGTCTTCCTGCAATCCACAAGCTTTGGCAGGTATAAATCTACTGTTTTAAGCAATTTTTGAAGTCCTTTGCATTCTCTTATCCTCGTAAATCCAGGTATCGTTCCTTTTTTCTCCTAACAAGCGTTGTTGATTGAAAATTCGACTAATGAATTGTTTTTACTTCGAAGAATGACAACAGCTGTGGAGGCCGAGCGAGCGAAGTGATAAATTTATTTGTACGTATTTCGGTAAGGCAAATCATGTATCTTTAATATGGAGGAAATAAACTTTATGTGGAAAACGGCTATCACTTCAGAATGTCTCTTTCTCCAAACCTAAACTCTGACAGACACTCGGACTCGGTCATCTCATTCAGGTTAAAAGTTGAATAATCTTTGTACAGAAAGCAGGTGTTTTTCCGCTCGAAAAGGTCAGACAAGACAAAAAATTCTCCATCATCAATAAAATTAGACGTACGTCTTAAAAAAATAAGATCTTGCATGGTTTTGAAAGACGCCATTGCGAAAATCTTGCTGCGAACGAAGATCACAGTCTCTCCAGCCAGCTGCCAAGAGTAATGCAGTTTCGTTAATTTTCAAAATCAAATTATAGCGTGATTTGTCACGTAATTTTATGGTCACGTGGCTACGTAACCCGACGGCGGCCAAAATCTTTGTGATAAACGAAATTTCTGTTTCTCTCCAGAAAAAAAATGCCCTAATTGAATGAGTTTTCCTCCTTAAATTGCACAAAATACGTATCACACCGAGGAATTTGTATTGGCAATGAATCATTATTTTCACGGCATGAACTCCGCCCTTCCATATTTTCGGGCCCGGCCCGCATAGAGGGGGTGAGGGTGGGGGAGAGTGGGATACCACTGATACCCGCTTTTGTCCTCATAAAATACCAATATAGCTAAAGATTTGTAAAACGTTTGATACCGAATGCCTGAAATTACCTTGAAAAAGAATACTATATACCTAAATAAGTATATCAGGACTGAGCCAGACAGTACAACCTTTTTTATTTATCAAAAAAACTAGTATTACCGTCCAAGGACAAGGAGCGAGCCGCTACCGGCGGGGTAAGGCGGCATGCTCCCCCAGAAACGCCATTTCTATAATGTTCCTAGCCTACGTAGCAGGCGTTTCGAAGTAGTGGGCGCGGGTGTCTCCGCGTGTCTCCCTCGCGCGCGCCCGTTCTTTCTTGCGCCCGCTACTTTCAAGCGCCTGCTACGCAGGCTATGTGTTCTGAGAGAACAATTTAAGTAAAAGATGTTGGTAATTCGACTGAAGAATACT